ATCAGGAGTGAACCATAGAAATGAAGATCACGTGGAGGATTAGCAACAGGGGAGTGGGAGAAGGAGCAGGGGGGAGAAGGTACAGAAAATAAGTAGCATAGACAGTAGATAGAAAATAGATAGGGGGGAGGGTAAGAATAGTAGGGGAAATACAGAATCTAAAGAACTTGAGACGTGTTCATGAACTAAAGAGGGGAAATGGTGGGGGAAGGGTGTGCAGGGTGGAGGGGAGGGGGGGAATAGAACAAATGTAATGGCATAATCAGTAAAAAAAATAAAGTGTGGGGGAGAAACATCAAAAAAAAAGAAAAAAATAAAGCAAATTTGCCTATTAGAGCTTTAAAAAAAAAAAGAAGTACAAGGGAGTTAGGCTTCTAAGTATAAAGAAAGATTCCTTTTTTTTTTTGGTATTTCCTGAAAACTTCAGAGTCCAAGGTTTGAGCCCTGCACAGCTGCGAACATTGCCGTAGGGAGAGCATGCCACTACCATGTGTCAGTCCATTCTTTGGAAAGAAGTTACTTTATCAGAAACCAATTCCCTTCCGTAGAAAGAATGCAGCTTGTCAGGCACACTACAAATTGTACTTACTGCCCCTTTCTGTTCCAGCTCCAGGCCTGGTGGCGAGGCACTGTAATCCGGAATGAAATTGGTAGTTTCAGTATGCCTAAGAAGGACAAAGATGACAGCAAGGATTCAAAAGGTAAAGACAAGGACAAGCGGAGAGGCAAGAAATAGTGACCGAGTATTTTCTTTTCCTCTGGTATTCTGGAGTTGGAAGGATTTGAATGGAATAAAAGACACCTTTTATCATCAGATTACTTATCTATAGGTTGTTTCTTATTTGGATATTCCCAGGTGTGGTCTTGTTATTTCACTTTGCCCATCATACTAATTTTCAGACCCCAAATTAGGATTATATGATTTTGAAAAAATTTTGCTGGGAAGAAGTATTTCTAGGAGCCTTGTTAAGATTCCTCTTGCTCTTTCTTACAAAAAGAAAAGTTTGTAACAGTGACACATTAAAGCTTCTGTAGTTCCTGTGATACGTCGCTGATTCTGATTTTATTTGGTCAACAGTGAAAAAACTCTCATGAACAAAAGTGTCCAGTAGGAAGTACAAGATAACATTTATAGAGTGTCCAGTGTAATATACGTATATAGTGAAGTTTTATTAAAAGTTGGTTCTTTCCTGTCTTAGATCATCATTTTAGAGTTTTTACTGGGGATTGGTGGCGGCATGGAATGTATACCTTATGAGCTGCGTCAGCTCCTTTTCTGGGAAATACGTAGGAATATAAATTATAAATACAAGATAGAAATGAGATTTTAGGATAATCCACACATGGTAACCATGTAGACACTGGTCCACTGGAAGACTAATTTGGAGATTTTCTTTCAAAGATGCTATTTTCAGGGAGAGGGAAAGAGAGGGAGGGAAACATTGATCAGCTGCCTTTCATTGTTCCCAACTGGGGACCCTTTGGTTTGCAGGACAACACCCAACTCACAGAACCACACGCCAGGGTTGGAAATACTTTTGAAAATGAGACACTAGGGTCAGTTCTCGCCTTATGGGGTATTGAGTAAAAGTGATAAAGCATGTGAGAATACCCAGCCTGTGCCCAATGGTTGGTTCTTCTCCCTATTCCCCTATAAAAGAATGTGCCTGCTGGGTCTTTGTTGCTTTACTTAATCAAAACAATATCTTGGGATGCTAAAGCTTTTCCAGTGGCACAACTGGTAGTTTCTGAGAGGAAAACTGTCCAAAAGTGTCACACATATTTCATGTTCTAATAAGCCTTATGTCTAACTCCAATACAGGGCACCACAGACAGCTGTACTTCTTTTAAAAAGTACATTTTGATCAAGTGCTCATTATGAGGACTCAGTTTCTACTGATCTGATGTTCCTTAGGGGAATTAGAGACTCATTTTTGCCAAGAAAACCATGCTTTAAATATGAACATTTTCAAACCAGGCTTTATTTCATGCTATTGAAGTGTTGGCTTTTATTTTAATGTCAAGTGTAAGGTGGCAAAAAGGCAATTTAAAATAACATACATGATATTGACATATTTATACTTACAACTATGTATCATATTTACAGACATACAAACATAGGACGTTTTACAAATCATTTACTAATTACATGTTCACAACATTTTCAGAAATAAAATGAATCTGCTGTAAACCATTTCACTGCAATGTGTATATAACAAGGCCTGTACATATCCATGTTTTCCTTCACTTCTATAACCACTTAAGTGCTCGGGTTTTAAACATTCATCACACTCGTCAGCCTAGTCACACCATTATTAGTCACTGCTGAGCAAGTAAGAGAAATCAGATTCCTTGATTAGGCCTAAGGCTGTATTTCAAAAAGCTATTAAAGAAAGTGACCTACTAAGAAGCCTCCTATTCTGTTCTAGCCGAATACAAAGGCCCCTTCTCCCATGAATTGTTTCCCGAGAAAAATGGTTTGGAGTGGAATGACTTTGAAAGCCCAGCAACCTGCTGACTTACTCCCTGTCTCTGCAGCTGGCAGGCAGGGGCCCTGGCGGGCAAGCACACAGCCTTGTCTTCCTTCACACTCCCAGCAGCCCTTGGAAGCTGCTGCTTCAGCAGGAAGCTCTTCCATAAATGTTGGGTGGAGTCATCTTCATCTGACAGTGGAGTCTAGCAAGGCTAAATGTTAAACCTTCTTTTCAGTTAAACAAAGGTACAACTAAAAAGTTGTACATTACTAGAGGCAACTGATTTTTGTTGACATATAAATTATACCTCAATAAAGTTAACAAATGAAAAAACAAAAACAAAGGTACAAACACTGAATGCAAAAAAATTTCCAACAAAACCATGATTTGTTTTTGCATCTTGACAAATTCAATATATTCGATATTTTCCTTTCGTTATCAACCAAAACTGTACACAATTTTTTCTAGCAATTCAAATGTAAATATGAATTAGTCTGATAACAATTCATTAATAAAGTTTCATGCTCTATGTAAAATGTGAAATAAGTTGAAATTTCCATTTACTCCTCTAGGAAAATTAGTTGCAAATGTTCTGAATGTTGTGTTACGTATGTCTTCTGGGACTACTCCTTGCATACTCCATGACAGAGTCCTGTCCTTTGCTCAGTTTTATTCAAATAGCTCTCTATAATTTGGAGACTGTACTGAAGTTTAATGCTGACTAGAAGGGAAAATACCTATGGTTTAAAAATACACAGTAAATTCTAACCAAGCCTATGATTAGTGGGTGTGTTTGAAACTGTAAGTACAATGGGTCTGACTCTAAGCCCTTAAAAGACACTTTACTTCTGTGAGGACCCTGAAGCATTGGGTTTTGAGTGCAGATGTTTTGTGTTACAGAATTTTAAATGTGGACAAGTGGTAATGTTGTGATGAACTTGTTTCCTTGTGAGAACAGGGAGAGAATATTATTTTAACCAGATAGTCAACTTTTATCCCAAGTTACTTTTAGATGCTACATTTATGTGATAAAAAGAGTGAGAACACTATGCTCAAACGCATGCGTTGGTAAAGGAAACCCAGAACAGTTAACAGAAAAAAACCTAGATAACTAGTATCTTCACTAACTCTACTCACTTGGTATATAAAGGCAGAGAGTACCAAAGCACATCACTGACAACTGAAAGGGGCTCAAAATACAAGGGAAGAAAGATCCAAGTGGCCTGAACTTTCTGTCTCCCCACATGGCTCAGATAAAGGCTCCCGGCTTTGTGTTTCGTGTTGTGGGGGACCTCGGGCCCTTTTATTCCACCCACAATGGAATAAACGCACTAGTGGTGGGGCTGGATGAGACAGCAAGCCATTTTTAAGACACCACAAGTGCTTTAATTCAGCCACAGGAACCTGGCTTTTCCTTTATTACTTTTGCTTTTATAATCTTCTGTTAGTTAGGGAGCTGGAAGTGCAAGGCTGATTGGAAGGTGTTGACAGGTCCAGGTATCCTGGGAACGGCTTGCGGGGAGAGGGAGGGGGTTCAATGACGCCCACGCCCAGGACGCTGACCAGTGCCTTTCACTAGCCTGAGGATGTGGAACCACCTTCTAAGTGTGGGAGGCTGGGGTTGCGGGTGGGAGGGTAGGACACTGGCCTTAAATACAACTGTATTTGTTCCACTGTTTTATTTTACAAAATCTAGACCTTCTATATTGTTTTTGTTTTACCCTGGACAAAAGAGTTTTTGTTCAAAAAACCCCCAGTTCTATGTTATTGTTTTGCCTTGGACAGAACTGTCCAAGTAGTTATAATACAGTTTTTTATTTTAAATGTGTCTGAAAAACACAGTGGAGTGGTTGCTCCCCCAAATCATACAAACATCTAGTTTGGAACAGTGGTCTCCATTCTGTGAAGTACCTGGAATGTCTATGGAAAACACAGACAACCAGGCTTCACTCTGGACCCTACTGAATGAGAAGCTGCATTTTAACAAATGCTCCAGGACATTCTATTGAACAATCAAGTTTAGACACCAGTTGACTCTATAGGTATGGGAAACAGGCAAACAGAATAGCATGTCTGTGCCTTCAAAAGAGCTAAATATCCTTCTGAGAAGATCTTTCTGGTATGTGGGGGAAAGCCTGCTCTCTGGGAAGGCACTGCCCATGTGGGCTTCAGTGTTAGGTTCTCAGTAATGACAGGACTCAGTTTTATTTGTGAAAACCATGTCTTCAAACCAATTCAATGGAAATGGATATAACCTCCCCTAAAATGGAGAAATAAAGCAAAATATTCCTGTTAGGAATCATGGGAACAGTCCCTTTACCCAGATGGCGGGCAGCAGCAGTCACGTTGTCCCGTTCTGTTTTGGCCAGGCCAGTGCCCAGTGTGCAGAAGTCCTCACACAGCAGACTGCTGCTGCGGCTGCGGCTTGGGTGGGGCAAGTTCCAGGAGAGCCTGGACCGTCACCGCAACCTGGCTCAAACCTTTCTCTTCTAAAATGTGGAGAGGCAAACATAATTGCTCCTGAAATGGGATAATGTGACATAAAAACAAACACAAGAGAAAATAGGATGAACATCACAGAACTGAAAAGAAAAAACAAGCATCTCCTCCCACTCATAACAATCAACTGAGATATGACAAGTCAGTACCTAGGAAACTGACCTCTGTTAATATGAACTACACAGGGATGATATCTGACAGTATCACTTTATTAACATAACCGAAAGTACATACAGACCGTTTTGAAAAGTGGAAAATGGATGGGTTAGATACACTTACACATACAACAGAGGATAAACAGAACACTATGGAGCGAAAGCAACGTTCTTCATTCCTGATAAATACAAGCAATGCAGACCAGTACGGTGAAAATAGAAAAAGTTACACATTATTCCAGATAGATGGCTCCAGCCTGCAAAGATATAACATGGTAGAAGAAAGCACTTTGGAAATGACATGCCCTAGGAATGCGAGATTGTTCCATGCCGTCCCCACACTGCACTGGACAGGGAGGCCTGCCCTGGGACCGGAAAGCAGGGCTCTCCCCCTTCAGAGCCCCCGGACTGGGCAGGGGTCGTGGGAAGAAACTGAAGTGTATTCTTTAGATTTATCTGAGAAACTTTACCCTACACCTTGGGTAATGCATGGAAGGACTGCATTTGAATTAGCTGAAAACCTGAATTATAAAATAAAAAAAAAAAAAAAAAGAAACTGTATTTGAAAAAGTATTTCATATCCTGCTGGTATTTAATGAAATAAATTATACTGGAGAATTATGATGTGAGCTTAATCAGGAATAACTTAATTACCATGTATTTAAAAACCATTTACATGTTCACTTAAGGAAGTGAAATACTTCTATCTTGTTTCTCTCATTAATTTGTTTGGTTGATCCTTTCTTGTAAGAGAAAAAGGCATATGTTAACAATAACACCTCCCACTGGTTTTTCTGTTAACACTAAACATTCAGAAAGAAGAGACTGCTCTCACAAAGGACAAAGGGGAATTCTGGTTTCATTAAAAAAAACTGTACATATTAAGTAAGATAACTGGATTTTTCTCAGCTTTTCATTGGCACTACTATATTATTGGGAAGACTTACAAAATAAGTTGCAATAAAAAATATAGCAAGTATTTATTTTGAGCAGTCATTTGTCTTTATGCTTATTTCTTTAAAAAAATACTCATCTGATAAAACAAGGTAACTGCTGTCTTTTGCACTTGTAAAACTATCAACTTTGTATAAATACTTTGAGTGTGACTGCGAGTAAGGGTTAACTACACGTAAACGGAGGATCAGGGTGCTCTGCTCCTGGCAGAGACCTGATTCTCGGCGGTGGCCCTGCGGCCTGTGCGGCCTGTGACCGAGACATGTCCTCAGAGGCCATGCTCTCCAGATGAAGGGTTACCTTCAGCTGCTTAGAGGGAACCTGTGTATTTTGAAAAGAATGCAGTTACTCCCGCAAAACCACACACAAGACAGTGTATTTTAGATAAGGTGTTTTTTTAAAAGGGAAAAAAGTCTATAAATTGAATGATTCCCTGACTCAGAAACATGTTAGAAACATGACCCCTTCCCTCCCCAACCCTGAAAGACATTATTACTGTATAAAACTAAAGTTTCCAACACAGTGTTCAATACTTTAGCTTAACAGTAAACACTTTTTAATGTGGTAACTGTCTCGTTTAATATGGAAGGAAATGGGAGCAATCAGGCCGGCTTCCACAACAGCATGTTACTCCCCTTCATACTTGTGTTCAGTTGGCCAATTTTGATACGGAGTTCAGGGTCCTGAACGTTCAGAAACACTATTCATGAGAACTAGAACGTGCAATTGTAAAGCAGTTCAAGCATCCAGGCTAGCAGCTGATATACTAAGGAACAATGTGAAGCGACAGTCTTCACTGCCTTGGGCACAGAACACGGACTGCTGCCTAACACTTTACCTACTACTGTTGCCATAATCTCAACAGCCTATGAAATACAAGTTCACCTATGAAGATGTTCAAATGTATTGGTAATTACATACATTACAATTTTAAATTCTCAATAGGATTCTAGAAGTGAAGTTTAATTAAAGATAAACACACAGTAAATCTGGACAGGCGCCCACCCCTGCGAAGTCGGCTCCAGCCCGCTTGCTTGTCATGTACTGAAATGTGCAGGTCAGGCTCGGAACAGCCATCCAGATAGAGAAACTATATGACCTTGGGACTGAAAATTCTGATCAAATTAAAATTAAAAAAATTAAATGACTAGTGCCTTCCAGATGCCCAGAAAGCAGAAAGGGAGATTTCAGGGCACAGTTCAATACAGGGATTCAGGTGACCACATGCCCCGCAAACCAGAAAGGGTATGATTCTTTTCCTTATGAGCAGCTGCTGAAAACGTTCAGCAACTTACAATTTCAACACATAAGGGGTGTTCAGGCATGGAAAAATGGCCAGATGGGAATTTTATTATGTAATTTGAAAATAAAGTTCTTAGTCATATTCTAAGAACAGGCTCAGGATTGTATTAATAGAAATGCTTCAGCACTTAATGAAAACAACACCACAGGCCAGGAGAATAGATCAATCACCAGGAGAAAAAATGCTGGTCTTTTACTCTTTGTTAGTCCTCATAAATGCTCACTAATGTGATGGGCTGCTCACCTGGACATATGAGGAAAGGGTTAATCTACTTTATTGGTTCGCTCTCTGATGGCCAGGAAAAAAGCACTTATGTAAATATTTCTGAACAAAGAAACAAACCTCCTTTACCAAGCACAGGAATGAGGTGGAAAACCATGGGAATGCAATGTCTGCTAGAGGGGGAAGATCCCATAATAAAGCATACAGAGAGACAGCATTAAAGTACAATAAAATGCCACAAAACCCAAAAGCTGGATAGACAGAGAGACAAAACTGGATTCTTCTGAATGTGCCCCAAGAGAAAGTAGTGTTTCAACAGTTTTCTTAACGCTGAGGTTTAGCTGAAGGATGTCAGAAGGGGAACAAAGATTGTCCTGTCCAAAGTGTGAGCAGGAAAGGAAAACAGAAAAACAAAGTCAGTGGATCAGAAATACAGGTTTGAGTATAGAATTCAATATGATCGTCTCAATCACACTCAAAGAAACAATATAACATTTTTTCTATGATGAATTAAAATGATGAAAAACAAAATTACAAAGAACTCTCTGTGTACAAAATAGCTGAATAAAACTGGCTGGTTGGTGACCAGTGTGAACACTCAGGATAAGTGAACAGCATGAGGCGCCGGCCGAGGGGCGTGTGAAGCCCGAGAACGGTGAGGTCTGCAGGAGCGGACCTCTTCCCTTCCTCAACTCTCACACTTTCTTTTTTTTAGAAAGCAAGGAAAAAACCTGGGTGCAGGCTGAGAGGGAGGTTTTCAAAGAGAGGGAGGTTTTCAAAGCCAGATAAATGGAAAGGCTCAAAAAGGAGGAAAGCGTAGTCATTAGGAAAATTTCCTGGCTGCAAGTAAGGTGACCTGGATGACTTGCTGTTCCTCCAGGAATCAGGGTAAACCCGCCTCAACCACGCCCGGTGCATTAACATGTAAAATGAATCTACAGCCACAGGGGGCTCTACAGATAATCATCCAAACCCTCCGGTTCACAGACTAAGAAATTAAATAAATAAATACATTATTGGACTTAATAATGGGAAAATATTAATCACATAACATAATTATTTTAGGACATAAGATACTGATCTCACCTAGAAATTTTTATCCCCCACTATAGTTTTTTTTAATGTAACAAATATTTAATAAAAGCATGATAATAAAGAGAATAGCCATATGTCCAACCTCATCAAAGGTTTTTTTATTTTTTTATTTTTTTAAATATTTATTTATTTATCTTTAGAAGGGAAAGGAAGGAGAGAGGGAGAGAAACATCAATGTATGGTTGCCTCTCATGTGTCCCCTGCTGGGAACTGGCCTGCAGGAAACTGGCTTGCAACCCAGGAATGTGCCCTGACTGGGAATTGAACCGCAATCCTCTGGTTCACAGGCCTGCGCTCAATCCACTGAGCTACACCAGCCAGGGCTCATCAAAGGTTTTTAATAGTCAACTTTTTTAGTATTTCATTCATAGTTACCTTGTAAACACTCTAGAAGTTATACTGAGAAAGGAAATGTTTGCCTTTATACACAGGTTCTGGTATTTATATCAAATTTTACATCTACCACTTGATTTTCTTTACAAGTCAGACAGAAAGAGTGGTTGGTGATTTTTAGGTAATTTAGAATACTCAGAAGCAAGGAGAATAAAGGAAGAAAAGGCATAGATTTTGCTTTTCCTCCTGTAGCAGAGGGACCTGAGAATGCTAGTTTGAACCTATGAGTTTGTGTTTTTGTTCATTTTCCTTCACTCTGCTTTGACTAATTTTTGTAGAAGTAGCAGCCTAACAGGAACCCTCTACAAGAGGCGGCAGTGGTGGTGGTGGGGAGACCAGGCTGGAAGGCAGGGGAGGAAGAGGCGGCCTGTGTGGCGTGTCCATTTCCCGTTTCTGGCAGGGAGTGGGGAGGAGGAAGGATGTGTCAAGCACCCACATCTACCCACACTGTCTTTTTTATTTTTTCTCCTGCCTTCAAATAGCACAGCTCTGATAGGAACAGGGGCAAGCTTGGCCCGTAATACATACTGTTAACCAATGCTTGTCAGATACATTCTGAAAGAGTTTCAGTGTATGGACTTTAAGTCTGGGACAGAAGATGGTTCTGTAAAGCCCGGAGTACAGGCACCATGACGATAAACACCAGTAAACACTACTTTGAACCAGTTTGACACAGGTTAATTCTGCTACCACGTCTTGCTGTTTGGGGCTATTTTTAGCACTCATTCTCCCTACATATGCAGTGACTCTTTTCATTCACTCCTTTTTTCTAGCTGCCATTACCAGCATAATGTGATGACCAGGTAGGAGCATCTCCAGTAGGTAGAAGGGGGGTTCTGAATGTTAATATAACATGTACATACAAATATTAGAACTTGCTTGTTAATATGGAGAAAATGCACGCTATTTGTTTAGACAATTTGTTAATGCTCTTTTACTGACTATATGTTTTTAAAAATATTTTATTTCTTTATTTTTAGAGAGAGGGGAAAGGAAGGAGAAGGAGAGGGAGAGAACCATCAATGTGTGGTTGCCTCTCACATGGCCCCCACTGGGGACCTGGCCTGCAACCCAGGCATGTGCCCTGACTGGGAAGCGAACCATGATCCCTTAGTTCGCAGGCCTGAGCTCAATCCACTGAGCTAAACCAGCCAGGGCTGGCTATATGTTTAAAAATTGTTCTAAAAGAGATGATGAGCCTTTAGAAAACTATATGGTATAAAAATGAGAAAAATGTTTTGAATTTGTTCATAGGAACAATAAAGGTCTTGCTAACTACTACTGAATGTAAATTTCAATTCTTTTATAATTCAGTTAAAAAACCACAAAAGTGAAAAGTAAGTAGTACAATCATGATCTATTTGATAAAAGGAGAAAAAATCCTTGGGAATTCACACTGTCTAGTGAAGATGCCCTGTGGACTGGGCTCTTTCTTTTTTGCAGCATGTGAAAGAGCTGAAGGAGAAAACTACTGATGGTCTTATGGGGCTCTGACCTCCTCACTCATGGTCAGTTAGGAGACAGCAGTGAACGGGATAAAGGGAGCAGGGACTCTGCTGTGACAGCTATTAGGACAGGGCTTTGCTTCAGGAGAAACAGTGCAGTTGTTGGGTCCAGGGTCAGTACTACGTTTCTGACAGCTAATTAAGAAGGTAGAAGAATCATGTTCTTCTTGAAGGTTGGACAAAATAATATGACAGGAAGTGTAATGGTTGTGATTAATGAAAAAAGTATCAAATGTCACCAAATTATTTATTTCTTTAAATTTGATTTCATTGAATATAATATTTCTTAAGAGTACCAAAAGTACCATGCTTGGTTGGTTTAACAGAATTGTTTTTTTAAAAGGCTAAATGAATAAAAAGTGTTAACAAGTTCATGTCCCTTAATCACATCTATAAAGTTTAATTTTTTGTACTAAAGGGCAATAAAGCTGTAACTGAAGGAGCTGGAAGAAATAAATCCCAACAGCAGGACAAGTGCCTTGGAATGGCACTTACAACCCTCTTGGGTTGTAAGTTCCAAAGTATGAGAGCTCGGAGGGAATACGGGGGATACGTGAGCAAAGTCGGTTATTTAGTTAACAGTTAATCGTCCCAGTGTTTGTGAATTTAGACAACATACTATCTTTACGCAGGTGTTAACAGTAGAGGAACCTGGGTGAAGCGCAGACAATACTTCTCTGTGATATATATTTTTAAAAGATTTTATTTATTTTTAGAGACAGGAGAAGGAGGGAGAAAGAGAGGGAGAGAAACATCTATCAGTTGCCTCTCGCATGCCCACAACCCAGGCATGTGCCCTGACCCAGGATAGAACTGGCGACCCTCTGGTTTGTGGGATGATGCCCAACCCATTAAGCCGCACCAGTCAGGGCCTCTGTGATATTCTTGCAACATTTCTCTAAGTGTAAAATGATTTCAAAGTAAAAACAAAAAAAATATTAAAGCAAGTGTTTAAAAACCCTGAAATCAACTGAAGTACTCTCAATCTGAGATGTAGTTATTTTGAAGCACCGACTCTACTATATATAAAGATATATTCTTACAAGTCAAACAGTATGTGGGGATGTTTAAGAAAATATCAGAACACCTATTTTGATTACTAGCATGAATTATTACAATATATTTAATTTATATGTGTATAGTTTCTTTGCTTGGTCCTTGCAAATAATTACAAAAACTGCTCAAAAGTATATTGATTTGAATCTAATAACACAAAATCATGTTGCATTTCTGAAATATTTTAGGAAAATAACACTCAAGTCTATTTAGGCAATATAAAACACGATAAATTTATTACCTGAGGTACACCAATTTTTCTGCAAGCTTCTAGGAAATTCTCCACATTTCGCCTGCACTTTGCCATTGTTAATTTAGGCTACAAAGAAAAACATGGTGTTACTAGCAAAGTCTTAAAAATTTTGCTAACTTTAAAAATATTCTTGCCAATTGCTTTATAAACTCAAAGTTCTAGATCACACAGTTGGCAAACTCATGCTTTTTCTATTTTTTAAAAAATGATTTAGAGAGAGAAAGGGAAAAAGAGGAGGCGGAGAGAGAGAGAAACATCCATTTGTTGTTCTACTCATTCATGCATTCATTGGTTGCTTCTTACACGTGCCCTGACCAGAGAGCAAACCTGCAACCCTGGCGTGTTAGGATGACACTCCAGCCAACCAAGCTATCTGGCCAAGGCAGCACACTTTCTCTTAAAATATCAGATAATAAGTATTTAAATCTTGGGGGGGGGGGCATATGATCTGTTGCAACTACTTCATTCTGCTAAGAACCTGAAAGCAACAGAGATGATATATAAACAAATAAATGGGACTGTATTCCAATAAAACTTTATTTACAAAAATAGGTGTCGGCCTTAGGCTTACCTCTCTAACTACATCTCCTGCCATTTGCACCCACACATTGTGTATGATCTGTTCTGAACAACTTTAAAATTCCTTGAATGTGCCATGATCTTATCTTTCAAATTTAGCAATACTATGTCAGAATTCCTATGATTTTACCTTTTCTGAGAAGGCTTTTCTGAACTCTTCAGGCAGAATTAAGTGGCCCATTTCTTGTATTCCTACAGCAACCTCTTACACACCTCCCTTGTAACATTTACCACACTGCTATCAGTCATTATTTATGTGCCTTTTTTTCTCTAGTAGAAGTGAAGGGAAGGCAGGAACTACACTACTCATATCTTTATCTCGAGCATTCTGCACAATGCCTGCCATCATGCGTAATAAGCCACCGTTTTTTAACATTACACACTTACTACAGCTGGTGAGGGAACATGAATACTTGGGACAGATCGAGGCCGCACGTGATTGGCCAAATGGCAAAGAACAACACCATCAGTTAGAGCTGCTCCAAGATCACAAGGCAGAGATACTTTCAGCCGGTACTCAATATGCTAAAAGAACAGAACATGTAATATATTGCATTAGAAATCAAGATAAAATGTAAATACCAAGTTGACAGTCCCTGTTTTAGCCTTTTATCTAAGTCAACAGGTTAAGGAGAATAATTACACTTGTGGCAATCAGGTCACAGTGGTGCAAAATACAATGAGGAATCTGTTTACAATTTTGTTAAAAAAACAAAACAAAACTAGACTGTCTTTCAACTCCAATAAAAAAAATACACTATATATGATGTATAATATGTAATGAGCACATATATATAAATTACTGGTACTCTTATAAGAATTCTATACATGAGACAAAATATTTATTAAATGAGTAGGACCAAGGATTAAGCTTTACAGAATAACCCATTTTCCTAGTAAAGAGTTGAAAAAAATTTCCTTAACAGCCAAATTTCTTTTATATTCATCACACAATGGGCACTTCTTAATTCTATCAGAAATTATAAGACATGTAAACAAGTGACTGCAGGATTATGGACTATAGCAATATCAATGAAAAACTAATTTAAAGGTAATATACACACTTTCCGTAGCTGATCTATTGATTCCAGTTCTTCTTCTCTCTGCCTTGAATTCTGTCTCGTTACGGGATCTGTAGAATCAGTAGTGGTTGCAGAAGACGAAAGAAGGGGTGAAGCATGACCTAAAGAATATTAACGTGTAAGACAGAACGGTGATTTGCCAGTGTCAGAAGAATACTCTGATCCACCTGATCACACTTTCCTTGCAAGTACAGCACTTTCTACTTCAGGAGTCATGCTTTTTAAAAGGTTTTAATTATGTTAATTTTCAAATATACAAAATCAAAGTGAAAACAGTATAAAAAGAAACCCCAATAAATGTACATTGTGCATGGCTCAACCACTTTTGTTTGATTACATCCACTGATAATGTTTTTATTGCAAAATAACATTCACATAGAAAATCACACACAAATCATAAGGGAGAAGCACAATAAATTATCTTCGCAAAGTGAACACAACCAGGTCAATAAATGCAACGTTACCAACATCTAGAAGCTCCTCTCAAGCTCCCTACCCATCAGTACCTAAAGGTTACTTGTGTACTTCCTGACTTCTAACACCAGGTCAGTTCTGTCCATTTTTAAACTTTTAATAAATGAAACTGTATTTATGTGTGCATGCTTTTGTGTCTGCTTCTTTTGATCAACATTATGTTTATAAGGTTTGTCCATGTTATGTATATTAGTTTGCTCATTTTCATATGGTATCCAATGTATAAATATACCACAATTTTTTATACATTCTATCATTGATAGATGTTCAGTTTGGGGCAATTATGAATAATGTTGTTATGAATATTTTGTACTAATCTTTTTGTATACATGTGTACATATTTCAGAAAGCAAAATTGCTAGCCATAGCATATACAAATGTTCAACATTAGTAGGTAATGTAAAAAGTTTTCCATACTAATTTACAATCCCATCAGCAGTAGGTCTCTGGTTTGATTTTCACATCTCACTGCAAGTACATCTATCAGTTTTAGACTTAAAATCTATGTTTTTAATTTCAGGCAACTTCTTTTGGGATGGGGCAGAAATTTGTCATATTAAGTAAAAAAAAATCAGGCCAAGTAGATGTAAAAAAAATTACTGATTCATTTATTTAAGAACACAGAAAATAGATTTTATTAACAGAAAAATCTGAAATGGAGCTCATTATAGAGAGGAGGAGCATTCTCTAAAGGCTGGAAAGACAATTTTATTTGTTAAGACACTATAACCTGCTTTTAGGTGGTACAAAGAAATTTTCTAATTAAAACAAATTCAAAGAAGTCTCCTGCTTTGATGTCAGCGAGACTGTAGATAAATACAGAGTTTAAGGCATTTGCCAAGGTGACATCTCGGGGTACAAGTAGGAAAGCAAGTAACAGTGTCATTGAATAAAGCCTCCCCTCCCCTGCTCTGAGTCACAAGCTCCCACCTTTATTTGCTTCCGCTCTGGCAGCTGATCGGAAAAGGAAGCTCTCTGGGCGCTGGGGTTGGTTTCTCTGCATAGCAGCAGGAAAAGAATATGCAGGGAAATGATGAACTAAATTGGCAAAGAAAGAAAATGAGATCAACAGAAATAGAAAATCATTAAATATGTAACAGACACATTGCACCCGTTTAATAAAAGGAAAATAAAAAATAAAATCAAACATGGCAATGACATAAAAAGATAATTTTGTTAATACAAAATCTGGTAGAGAAAGTAACCCTGTCAGCAGGAAGGCTGCCTGTATGTATTTTTAACTGTCATGTTATTTTTGGTGTATCAGGAAAGGCGGAGTGAGTGTTACTGCACTGAACATGGTCTCCCGCAGACAAATCTACAGCCCTGCTGGCTCATGCTCATTTGTTCATATCAAACTGCTGAACAGTCGAACAACCGGCTGAATTAAAAAGTTGAAAATGTGCAGAAAGTTCCCAATTTTGTATCTGATTTCTCATCTCAGGAAAGGAAGCCACAGGTCTCTGATAGGTGACTTTTAGCTAAGTGCGTACTTGAAATATTGGGAGGGAAATACTCTGTAAATATATGATTGTCTAGTCACTATGTAGTACACCTGAAACTAATACAAAATAATACTGAATGTAAACTGTAATTGAAAAAAAAGGACTTTATCAGGAAAAGCCTGGTAAAGAATTATAATCATGACGTGGCGAATTGCACTTTTGTGTCCATTACCTGTTTCTGTTGTAGGTGAACTTGACACAGCATTAGATCTGTCATCATTCTGTGGAGAAATAGAAAACTAGTTGTTGTTCGGGAAGAGCTACTCTCTGTATTAATGAAAACTTTGGGATTATTAAAAAATCCATGCAACTCTCCTTCAAAATTAAGTTTAGAAATGATGATTTAGCCTAATGTATGAATTTTGTACGTTTGTTCAAAGGCCACATTTTTTATTTAATTCTATAGAACACAAGGTCTCTGTATTGCAGCCTCTAAAGACAGTCCTATTACATAACAGCCTTTCCTGTGCTTGTAAAAAAAGATCATCCTAAGGCAGAAAACTTTACTGGGAAATAAATGTACAGAAAAGAAAATTTTATTTTACAATATTTTTTTCTGGTATAATTTCTAAAGTACTTCCCCACCCTCCTCTGGAGAATAAAATTTAATGTGTTATGGAGTGATGAAGGTTTCTTTGTTTCACTTAGGAAATAAGGTGCTTAGATATTATAGATAGCTGTATTCCCAGACTAGTACTTGAGTCCAAGATATTTTAAATTCAGTGAAAAAAGGAAGAAGAGCTAGGTAAACTGGTATAAAGTTTACCTTTGAAAAAAATGAAATGTAGTTAATTAAGTTCATTTAAAAAGAAGTACCAGTTGGTTGGGTTACAGATATTACAGACTCGGCAGGGGAACAGAATCAAGAAAAGCTGGCATAACAACAATTTTTCAGGTCTTACATCTAATTATACTCAATTTAAATATAACTTCATAATAACTACGACACATTCTTGAACTAACAAAATGACTTTAAAATACACACACATATCTGCTCCCATGTTTTTTCTCTTTTCTGGTTTCAATATTTGCAGAAATCTTTTATATCTAATTGGAGATCAGTCTGATGAAATTATTGACAGGGAATTTTAACCACTAAAATTAATGAATGAAAGAAGCCACACTATTAAGTAAATTCTTGGACTGATCTGAAAGAGTTTTGTGGTAACTATTCCTTGGTTTGATAATCTTAGGTTGAGAATTATGACTTAAAAGAACAAGCTGCATTCTTTAGTGAGGCAATGTATTATTTCTTCATTAGTTAAAAAACATCAAGTCTACAGACAGCAAAAAACTAAATTTAGAATGTTGCAATGAAATGGACATTTAAATAAATTTAAAAAACAACAGTAACTAATGAAAGAAATGAAGAGGCAATGAGGCAAGCCTGGATGTCTTTATAAGGAAAAGACTATCCTTCTCTTCTAAGAATGTGAGACAGGAAGGAGAACGCTAGTCAGCTAAACAAGGACATGTTCCAGGACCAATGGCACAAACGGGAAAAAAAGTGAAGATTATTCCAATATAAAATAAGAATATTTTAAAAATATTTTAAGACTTACTATTAGTAGGAGTTAGGCTAAGGAATAAAGGGAAAAAGTAATAGGCAACTCTCAGATGAGAGAAGAGTTGAAAATAATTCCACTGAATGGTAGAAAATGTTCTCTACTTATAAAAACACCAAAAGACAAAACATGGGAGTAATGAAAACCAAAACTAGATGTCCCAATAAATGGCAGCAAAGGTTAAATACAACTTGCCTTCTACAACCACATCAAAATTACACCTAAAATATAGAACCATCACTCAACAGTTAGAAATCGAGTGGAATGAAAGTCTGCCAACTACAGAATTAAAGACCATGTCCAACCAGATTGGTAGGGGCAGAAACATGGAACAGGAGTCATACCCACATGTGGTGGATAAGAATTCAGCAGGGGTATCTAGGGAGTGAGGAGTCCCAGCCCCACACCAAGCCCCCCAGCCCGGCACTGGTTCCAGTGCTAGGATGGTAATTCCCCGTAAATTCTGGCTGCAAAGAACACTGGGGATTGAGTCGATGGAAAAACTTCTAGAGTTCCAAGCATTTCCCCTTCAATAACCCACACACAAACTTACTGAGACTTATTCCCTCTGAGCTCCAGCATCAAGGCAGCAGCTTTAAAGACACCGGTGGCAGACAGGGAGGAACTGAAGTGTCTGGCATCAAGGTGGGAGCTGGGGGGACAGCTTTCTCCCAAAAAGAAAGGCCAGCAGAGGTCACTGTCCCTTTTCTAAGCTGTCCTCCACACAGAGCCATATACCCGGCAGGTGGGGGCCATATCCGAGACACCATCAACCTGGCTAACACCATCCTGCCTTGAATATCCCAAGACTCTATCCTACCCAACTTATAGGAGCACCCAGCTGTTAACCTCAACTTTTCCATATGAATGGCTGGTCTTGGCTCATGCTTCCTAAATCCTCTCAAACAAGCAACATCTGGCATCAGTGAGCCCTCAACCCCCTTACCTCTCCTAAGTGGCCCCAGGCCTGGTACTAGCAGCAGCCAGCCTAGATTCACAGCCTTGCTTCACCTGGAAATCTCCAAGCCCAGCACAAGTAGCAGCCATATCAGATTGCTTTATAGCTCATGCACAGTGGCCCAAGACAAAAAGGTAGGGGCTGACGTTGGCTTTCACCACCTAGGGAAACCCCAGAGCCAGTGCACCCAGTGGACAGCTACAGACTACAATGAAGCACCACCGCCCTGCCCCTGGGCAGCTCATCCTCTATGGAGGGTGGGGGTTGGTGATCAATGGTCACAGCCAGTCCTTCCAGCTGATTGGCCTGGGTAAATCCCTTCCACTGACCTGCTTTCAATAGTCAAGGCTCAACTACAAGATTAGACCAATTAGATATAAAAGATATGCTTGGTTAAATATGGTTGCAAATTAGAGGAAAAAATGAAGGGTATGCTAAGTGAAATAAAGTAAAATGTACAGGAACCAACAATGAAGGGAAGGAAACCAGGACTCAAGTCAACAGTTTGGAGCAGAAAAAAAGAAAGAAACATTCGACCAGAACAGAATGAAGAAACAAGAATTTTAAAAAATGAGGAGAGGCTTAGGAACCTCTGGGACAACTTTAAATGTTCCAACATCCCAATCATAGGGTTGCCAGAAGGAGAAGAGGAAGAGCAAGAAATTGAAAACTTATTTGAGCAAATAATGAAGGAGAACTTCCCCAATCTGGCAAAGGAAATAGACTTCCAGGAAGTCTAGGAAGCTCAGAGAGTCCCAAAGAATCTGGACCCAAGGAAGCACACACCAAGGGACATCAGAATTACATTAGCCAACATTAAAGATAAGGAGAGAATCTTAAAAGCGGCAAGAGAAAAGGAGACAGTTACTTACAAAGGAGTGCCGTAAAACTTTTAGCTGATTTCTCAAATGAAACCTGGCAGGCAAGGGGCTGGAAAAAAGCATTCAAAGTCATGAAAGGCAAGGATCTACATCCAAGATTATTCTATTCAGCAAAGCTATCATTAAGGATGGAAGGAGAGATAAAGTGCTTCCCACACAAGAGAAAAAAATGAAAAACTTCATCATCACCAAACTATTATTATATGAAATGTCAAGGGGTCTTAAGGAAAATAAGATCAAAACTATGAATGATAAATGGCAGTAAACATGTTTCTATCAACAACTGAATCTAAAGAAACTAAGAATAAAAGAAGAACAGAGACAAAATCATGGATATGGAGAGTGTTTTGATGGTTGCAAGATAGGAAGGGGTGTGGAGGACTGGGTGAAGAGGTGAGGTGATTAGAGGTACAAATAGGTAGTTACAGAATAGCCATGGGCATGTAAAGTACAGTATATGAAATAGAGTAGCCAAGGAACTTATATGCATGGCCCATGGACATGAACAACAGTGTGGGGACTGCCTGATGGAATGGGGCTAAGGTGGAATAATAGGGAAAACTGTAATAGTATCATCAATAAAATATACTTAGAAAAATGGAAAACAAAGTCAGAATAGAGGCAACTTTTAAAATGACTTAAAAATGTACTTTTATTAAAACTATAAATCTCAGTGACTTGCATTCTAGGATACTAAAATAATTAATTCAAATCACTTCCAAGCCATTGACTAAATTTGAGAACTACTGTAAAATGAGGAGAAAAAAAGGGAAATTAATAGTAAGTCAAGTTTTATGACTTGTTAAGCAACAAAAGAAATAAAATCATTCCTAAATATAGTGTATACCTGCTGTAAAGCATGTGGGGTATCAACAAATAAAGAATAAATTTTTTTAAACTAATCACTTGACAGTGTAGCAGGTCTGACAGAAAGGTGACCCATCACACAATTTTCGGCTCATTCACACCTGGCCTTTCTCAACTATGATTCTTGGTAGAATAAGCCCCAGTGCCCTCAGGTATCCATTGAGTATAATGAATTTAACTTCTCTCCTCAACAATTAGAACACTACTACTTATATAACTTCCTTGAAAGAATCTTGAAAAAGTCCCTCAAATAATTTTCTGTGTTGCTGCTCAAATGAGAAACCTAATGGAGGCAGACTAGGGTTAACAGGGTTAACACAGAAGAGAATTGTAGAGTTTCTTCATGAGCGATTCAGGTACCTGTAGCATCAGAGGAAAGGTTTTATCAAGTTTACAAATGTTATAAAGCTGAAGTCAGCATTTAGAAGGACATGAAGTAGAATGTTAAAGTACTCTGGTAAATTAGAGAAGTAAAAGTGTTCAAGAGCAAAATTAAGTATTCTGGAAAACAAAAAATACAACAGATGGAAATTAACTACTATTTAGGTATATTACTAAAACATTTGAGAATTATAGTAGACACAGAGCAAAATGAGTATCAAAACAGAAAAAGCCAATGTAATGCTTAGTAAGACATGTGAAGACCCTTGTTTCATGCTCAGCACCAGGCGAGCTCTAACGATGGCCATACTTGTAGCTGGGGACTGTGAGCCAAAATGGGAGACAAAGAACTTGTGAAAGTTCCTAAGGAATGACAGGCTGGGAAAGACATGTGAAAGGATCAGAGTGTATTTAGGGATCAGACAAGGGTTGCATTGTAATAGTTTTCAAATAGGGTCCAGCACAAGTAATGCCCCTCCTTTATTACAAATCCTTTTAATACAAAAGTTGCATGTAATTCTACATCATAACAGTATCACACTCAAGCACATTCTAGGATATTTTAAGTGAAATGTTCAAATTAAAGCTGTAAATTACTACATCCATACTATTACCCTCCCAACCACACTTAAGCAGGCGTTACTTCTGCCAGACCTATAGAATGATTCTTACATAAAGACTGCTATTTACTAGAAAATCTCCACACTGGAAAGAAAAGAAGAATCAAGTGGAAAACAAAGAGGAGACAGGAGTTAAAAAAGGATAAGATCTTGACAGTGAGGACTATCAATCATTTCTTATGTATCATACAATAACACATATGAAATTACCATCCCTAGAGGCCTTCAAAAATAATATTCTACAGGTTCTGTTTAGGCTTCTACACTACAAGATCTCTGGCACAATTATTCCAACTTTGCTGCTAATCACAAAAGCAGCCACAGATAATATACATAAACAAGGGAATAACTGGGTATCAGTAAAACTGTTTACCAAAACAGATGTCCTAGGGGTCATAGCTTATTGACCCCAACTGTAGAGGGTGTTGGCAGTTTAAATAGCTTTGGAGACTAGGACTCAAAATAGTTTACAGGTATACTAGACATCAAAGCCAAAATAAAATGACTCATGACAAAAGAATAACCATTGATAGGAAAACTAGAATGACATTTCAATTAGAATCAAAATATAAAGAATTAACAGTCTTTATAACTATCTCTGGCATGATAAAACTTTCAAAAAATTTCAAGTGAATTAACGTTAAAGTCAAAGTTTTATAAGCTTAATGTATTTCATGCAATCCTAGATTTCAGATTGCTTGCCATTAGACCAATCCATTGGAAAAGTTAAGACCTACAGTATGCAACCCCTCCCCAAAGTTCCTGGCGAATTACAATAACAAAAGATACCTTAACAGGTGTGAAGGCAGACGAATGAGTCAGGGTAGCAGCACAGCCCACCTGATTCAACCCTGACAGCGACTAAATTTCAAAAGATAAAGAGAACAGAAGACAGAATTTTTGTCAGCAAAACGTCAGGCAGGGAGGCAGGCAGATCTGGTCAGTAAAATTATAAAAGGAAAGGTCGTTGACAAACTTTCAAGTGCTTTACCAAGATATTAGGGCAGAGAGAATATTTGTGGGAGTGAAGACATAATTTATAAAATAGTTTTCCACTTGTATAATTCAAACTATTTCAACACTTCATACCACATAAAGAAATGAAAAGCATGATGTTAAAAACAATTCTACACAGTAATAAAACAAGAAAGATCAAATTTTTTTTAGTAAAAAAGCCTTGAAACTAATGAATCCTGTGCCGTTCCTATGACATAAGAGAAAAATCCAAAGAGCTCATTTTAGTTTTTTCATGTCTAACAGGCTTTTGAAAATTGATTATGCTATTTCAGTTGTCCTGATTTTTACCCCTTACGAACCCCTCCCAGCACTCTCCACTCCCTCCAGGGATCCCCCTGCTTTGTTCATGTCTGTAGGTCCTGTATATAAGTTCTATGGCAACTCCATTCCCATACTTGCTCTACATCCCCTTGCCTATTCTGCAACTACCTATTTGTAATTCTTAGTCCCGTCACCTTTTTCCCCCATTTCCCCAGACCACGCTTACCACTGGCCACCATCTATGATAGTTTCTGTTCCATTGTTTGCTTAAGTTTTTTAAAAATATATTTTGTTTATGCTATTACGGTTGTCCCATTTTTTTCTTCCCCTTTATTCCCCTCCGCCAGGTACCTCCTATTCCCTCCAGCAATCTCTCCCCTTAGTTCATGTTCATGGATCATGCATATAAGTTCTTTGGCTGCTCCATCTCCTATACTGTTCTTAATATCCCCCTGTATTCTGTACCTACCAACCTGTGTTCCTTAATCCCTGAACCTTTTCTCCCATTCTCCTTCTTCCCCTCCCAACTGATAACTCTCCAAATGATTTCCGTATCTATGATTCTGCTTCTGTTCTGCTTGTTTGCTTAGTTTCTTATATTCAGTTGTTGATAGTTGTGAATTTGCCACTTTAATGTTCATTGTTTTGATCTTTTTCTTAAAGATGTCACTTTAACAATTTCATGTAATAATGGTTTAGTAATGATGAACTCCTTTAGTTTTGCTATGTCTGGGAAGCACTTTGTCCTTCTACTTAAATGACAGCTTTGCAGGACTTTGAGTATTTCTTGTCAATCCCTTCTTGCCTGCACAGTTTCTTTTGAGAAATCAGCTTACAATCTTATGGGAACTCCCCTGTAGGGAACTAACTGCTTATTCTTGCTGCTTTTAAGTTTCTCTCTTTAACTTTTGGCATTTAAGTTCTGCGTCTTGGAGTGGGTGTCCTTGATCCATGTTGTTTGGGACTGTCTGTGCATCCTGGCCTTGCATGTCTATTTCCTTCACCAAATACAGGGGAGTTTTCTTTTGTTATTTTTTTTCAAGTAAGTTTTCAATTTCTTGCTTTTCCTCTTCTCCTTCTGGCACCCCTATGGTTTGCATGTTGGCACATTTGAAGATATCCCAGAGGCTCCTCAGTCCATCCTCATTTTTTTAAAATTCTTTCTTCTTGCTGTTTTGAGTGTTTTTTCCTTCCTTATGTTCCAGATCATTTACTTGATTCTTGGCTTCATTCACTTTATTGTTGTTTCCTGTAAATTGTTCTTTATTTCACTTAGTGTATCCTTAATTTCTGCCTGGGTCTTTTTTACACTGTTGAAGTACCCCATGAGTTCCTTAAGTATCTTTAATAATCAGTGTTTGGAACTGTGCATCTGAGAGGTTGCTTTTGTCCATTTTGTTTAGTTCTTTTGGGGGGACTTTTGTTCTTTCCTTTGGGCTATATTTTTCTCTTCATTTTGGCATCCTTCCTGTCTTAGCTGTGTGGCTTACTATAGAAAAAAGCACTGGTAATCTGCATGTGGCAGAGCCACAGGTAATCACCAGGGTGGGGCAAGCCATGTCACCACTCTGTGGCTCTGTGTGGGGAAGGGCTCAGATATGGGACAATGCTGCTCCCTGGGCTCTGGACTTTTGTCCAGCAGGAAGCTGTCTCCTGAACTTGCCCTTATGCCAGTCATTGTAATTTCTCCCGTATTACACTGCTGCCCTTAAAGCTCTTGCCCTGGTGTTGAACCCAAGGAAGTGAGTCTGCATTAAGTCCTAAGTCAGTTGCAGGCCTTAGAGGACAGTCCTGAAATTCCGATTTCTTCCACCATCCCAGTCCACACTAGTTTTTACAGCCAGACATTTATAAGGTCTTATCTTCTTGATGCTGTAACTCTGGGTTGGGTGGTCTGGTGTGGGGCTGGGATCCCTTGCTCCTGAGGTGTCCCTCCTGATTTTTATCCACCACACATGGGTGTGGGACCAGCCTGTTTGACATCTGTCTGCACCTCTCTACATCTCTGTGTCTCTACCCCATCTGGATAAATGTGGCTTTTTTAATTCCCTGGTTGTTAGACTTCCATAAACTCGATTTTATGATGCTGGGTGATATTTATTTTGTAGTCTAGTAGTAATTTTTGCAGCAGTTGTGTGAAGAGGTGAGCTGTGTTTACCTATGCCTCCGTCTTGACCAGAAGTTTCTTTGAGTATTTTTTAAAAGTCAGTTGCTGAGAGTTATACATTTATTGCCATTTTAATGTTCATAATTTTGATCTTTTTCTTAAGTGCCTTCAACATTTCATTTAATAATGGTTTGGTGATGATGAACTCCTTTAGCTTTACCTTGTCTAGGAAGCACTTTCCCCTTTGAGTCTAAATGACAGCTTTGCTGGTCATAGTAATCTGGGTTGTAGATGGCTTTGCATTACTATGAATACTTCTTTTTTTAAAAATTTTTTTATTGATTATGCTGTTACAGTTGTTCTATTCCCCCTTTCATTCCCCTCCACCCTACCCCCCCATCCCTACCATTACCCCCCTTTAGTTTATGACCATGTGTCTCAAGTCCTTTAGATTCTATATTTCCCATGCTATTCTTGCTCCCCCCATCTATTTTCTATCTACTGTCTATGCTACTTATTTTCTGTACCTTCTCCCCCCTTCTCCTCCTCCCACTCCCCTGTTGCTAACCCTCCTTGAGATCTTCATTTCTATGTTTCCACTCATGATCTAGCTGTCCTTTTAGTTTGCTTTCATTTTAGGTGTGGTTGTTAATAACTGTGAGTTTGTTGTCCTTTCACTGTTCATGTTTTTTTAACTTCTTTTTCTTAGATAAGTCCCTTTAACATTTCATATAATAAGGGCTTGGTGATGATGAACTCCTTGAATTTGATCTTATCTGAGAAGCACCTTATCTGTCCTTCCATTCTAAATGAAAGTTTTGCTGGATAGAGCAATCTTGGTTGTAGGTCTTTGGATTTCATGACTTGGAATACCTCTTTCCAGCCCCTGCTTGCCTGGAAGGTCTCTTTTGAGAAATCCGCTGACAGTCTGATGGGAACTCCTTTGTAGGCGACTGTCCCCTTAGCTCTTGCTGCTTCTAGGCTTCTCTCCTTCATTTTAATTTTGGCTAATGTAATTATGATGTGCCTTGGTGTGTTCCTTCTTGGGTCCAACTTCTTTGGGACTCTCTGAGCTTCCTGGATTTCTTGGAAGTCTATTTCCTTTGCCAGATTGGGGAAATTCTCCTTTATTATTTGTTCAAATAAGTTTTTCACTGGTGGCTGTGCCTTTCCCTCTTCTGGTACCCCTATAATTCAGATGTTGGAGCGTTTAAAGATGTCCTGGAGGTTCCTAAGACTCTCCTCATTTTTTTGAATTCTTGCTTCTTGACTCTTTTCTGTTTGGCCATTATTTGCTTTCTTCTGGTCCACTCCATTGATTTGAGTCCCAGTTTCCTTTTCATTGCTATTAGTGTCCTGTGCAATTCCATTCATTTCAATTAGTTTCGCCTTCATATATTTGTCTAATTTGTCGGTATAATCAACCAGTTCTATGAGGATCCTGATGACCAGTGTTTTAAACTGTGTGTCTGAGAGTTTTGCTATTTCTTCATCGCTTAGATCTATGGGCTCTGGGGCTTTGAGATATTCTTGCGACATTTTTGGTCTGTTCTGGCCCTTTAAGTGTGAGAAGCGGTGCCTTGGACTCCCAGGTCGCTGGGTTGTGACGCTGTATGTGGGGGCGTGGTCAGAGCAGGGAAATGGCGACCCCCTCTGCTGTTACTCACAGCTGGGTGAGGATTAGCGTCTTAGGTGGTTCACATGGGCGGGCCACTCAGAGTCGCTGGGTTATGACACTGTATGTGGAAGTGGGGTCAGAGCGGGGAAATGGCAGTGCCCTCCACTGCCATTTGCCGTGGGGACCCGCCGGGCCCCAGTCCAACCGCCCACTCCCTCGCCTGTCCGCCCTCGCACAAATGCGCGACCACAGTCAACACGCAGCACCGCTCCCCCGCTGTCTCCCCCGAGGTCGCTCGCCTGGTGGCTCACTCGGTCGCTCACTAGGTCCAACCTTGCGCCTGGATTCCGCGCCTGAGTCCGTCTGACCGAGACCTCCTGTGCAATCCTGCTTCACCAGCCGCTGGTTTCGCCCCTTACCGGTCAGGCTGAAGAATTTGTTGTTAACGGACTTCCGAAAAGTTCAATTTTCCGTGTTCTGGCTGTGTTTTCTGTTGCTAATATTTAGTTGTCTCTAAACTTGGTTGTGTGAGAAGGCACGGCACATCCACCTATGCCTCCATCTTGGCGGAAGTCGGACAATCTTTAATGTTGGTATTTAATTATGTTTCTTGATGTGGTCCTCTTTACATCCATCTTTTTTTGGGGACTCAAAAAGGTCATTTTAGCTGAGTAGAAGTAGTATGAAGAACAATATTTTTTCAATATTAATCTAAATACAATTTAATAGCTCTGATGTTAAAAGACAAAAACATGAGAATTCTGTATCACCCCTTAAGGCATATTATTTCTGCCTCTGAGAAAGTCCAAATGACCTACAGGAGGTTAAGTAAAAGTCTCCTTTTCCTTTATCCAACCACCAACCTGCATACAACCAGTTAGATATATCAGAATAAGTATTAGTATTTGTTGTTCACAATTTTGATTACAGATAAAAGCTGCTCAAAACATGATGATTTTTTTTCATTTGGTGGGGAATGGAAATCAGACAAAACAGGACTTTCACAAAGGGTATTGGATAAGATTGTACCTATTAAAAGACAACAAAATGTCAACAGCTTAATGATAATAAAGGCTTTATTAGTTAAATAATCTTGAGAAATTTAAATTAGGGTCACAAATATATGAATCATGGGCTAGATGAACAAAAACATATGTGAGTGTTTAGAAAAAAGGTGTGTAGGTGGTCAATAAAATAAATACAACTACTTTTAATGAGAGATGACATACAGCAATGTCTCCCCACACCCCGTGTATGTAATATACACTACAACATAACCTACCTTAAGCCAGAAAAAAAAATGAAGAAATGTACCAAAGAGCAAGATTGTGAGAGCAGCAATACAATGTGTATATGTTACCTGTTCAGATTTCCTGGGCCTCCTTATAATCAAATGTACCAGAATTACTGTCAATTTCGAATATAAAAAGGCTAAAAGCCACTATGTTGGCAAAGAAGGAAAAAGGGAGTAGAGGGAAAAGAAAGTAGGCAGAGATGGAATACAGATGCGGATGGGACATAGAAGAAAAGCCATAGAAACTTTAAGAGCAGCCCAAAGAGAATGTTAGAATAACTTATATTAAATATTACTAATACTTATTTCAAATTCTGTATTTCAAGTTATTTAAATTTCAATATATTTATTGCTATAATTATTCAAATTCAACATTTGCTTTACCAGCAGATCTTTTCATCATGAAGCAATTTAATGAGGATTATTAGATGCATAGCATTTATGGGTTCATTAAGGAAATACTAACTGAGCACGTAATATATCCCAACAACTATGATACAGATTGAGTATACACATGTAAATGCAACAGAGAATATCCCTGGGCCCATGAAGCTTAGTCTTGTCACCTAACTAAAAGTACTATAAAAAAATTAATAATAGAGACATAAGCTTGACTTAAGGATGAAGAAGTTGCAGAAAAGCCATTTTAAAGGTGTAACATTTGAGCTGATACCAGATAGATGAGAAAGAATTAACCATGGGGTAAATGCTGGGGGGAAGAGGCATTCCAAGCAGAACATAGCATTTGCAAAGGTAGGTAGGGAAGGGCTTGCTGGATTTGGAAAGCTGGAAACTACTGGCATAGCATGAACACAGAGATGAGGTAGACAGAAGTCAGAATATGCAAGAGTTTGCAGGCCATGTTAAGAAGTTTGGATTTTAGTCTAAGAAACTTGCAGGCCATATTAAGAAATATGGACTTTATCTTACTGTATGAAGCCTCCAAAGAGCAATTTTGAAAAGATCAAAGGTAGGATTTAAAATATGACTTTTTTGCGGTGTTGGACACTAGTTTGCACTAAAAAATGTGTGACATGGACCTTGCATTTTTTTTTACAAGAAAACAAATCCATTTTCTTTCTTAAAAACTTCATTTTATTTTTTGAGAGTGGAAGGGAGAGAGAGAAACATCAATGTGTGGTTGTCTCTCAGGCACCGCTACTGGGGCCCTGAGCCGCAACCCAGCCACATGCCCTGACTAGGAATCGAGCCGGCCACCCTTGGCTCACCAGCCAGCACTATTTCTTTTCTTTTTAAAATGTTTATTTACTTTTAGAGATAGGGAAAAGGAGGGAGAAAGAGAGGAAGAGAAACATCAATGTGTGAGAAAAATATCAATCAGCTGCCTCTCACATGTCCCCAGCTGGGGACCTGGCCTGCAACCCAGGCATGTGCCCTGACTGGGAATGGAACCAGCAACCTTTCAGTCTGCAGGCTGGTACTCAATCCACTGAGCCACAACAGCCAGGGTTATCTAGTTTTCAATAAGTTTAAGTTCCTGAGAGGTACAACATTACATAGATTCTGTGTCCAATGGCCTTAGCAGGGAAGTTGCTTTGGAATTTAGCATGAACCATGCCACTGATTGATTCCATGAGCACAAGTTACCTTCTCCCAGACTACTCTGGTTTTGTTTGGTTACCACCAGGAGTCACTGCACTGTTCTTTGCTGCGTATACATAAGCACATCCCTTACCTAGAGAGAAATCGGTTTCTCCTTGATCATTAACTCCTTCAATTCTAAGAAGAGCTGTGTGTTCCCTCTGGTCCAGAGACCTCAAATATAGCTAGCAAAAATGGCCCTGGGCCACACCCTTCCACATGTGTTTGTTGATATAGAAGTCCTGTTCCCAGCAGGCCCCCTCAGACTCCAAGATGGCAGAAAGAGTAAAGACCATCTAATTTAGGTGACACAGGAATGCTGATAACTAAAGGACAAGTGCATGTGTTTTGAAATGGCTGAAGGGGATTTTGTTGTTTTTCCAACTTCCACTTTTTCCTCGACATAAAAGTCTGGAAACTCAGACTTGTATCACTTACTATATGTGTTATTAAACCTTGTCTTAGGTTTCCTAATTTTCCATTTTAGTGTGGGAGGGAATACAGTGTGGTGTTTAATGAAGGTTTTCGTCAGCCAGACTGAGATTTAAACCCAGCCTGGCACTTAGTAGCTGTGATAAGTCACATTCTGGACAAGACATTCTGTGCCTCAGCAATCATCTGTAAAGCAGTGATAAGCTTAACCTTAAGTTGCTGTGAGGAGTGAATCAGGTAACTCTGGTAACGTGTCCAAATCATCACAGGCACTCGATATTTTCCTGCATTAATTTAAACTAGTTGCTTCTCATGCCAATTAACTTCCACTGAAACTCCAGAAGCTGCTGGCTACATTCATCTGGAAGACTGCCCAGTTAAAATGTGCTTTTTCTATGTCAAAGGAAATGATGATCTCAGAACACACAGAAATTTGAATAGACGATGGAAGTTTACGTAATAGGAACCTCATGCTGAAGTACACAGTTCATGCAGCAGCACACGCAGCGGAGGCAGTACTAGCACGTAAGAGAGGAGCTGATAGGGAGAGCGGACTATTGAATAGCTAATTTTCAATACTATTGTGAGAAAAAACCCAACATGATGAAAAAATTATGTAAATGGTTAGAATTCTCTTTCAAGCCTGATAAAAGTAAAACCATTGAAAAAGTTCTCGTGTTATACTGATTTTCAGCTGATAAACAGGGAATAAAAGTAAACCAGTGTTTAAAATGATCAGTAGATAGCATTCCAAAAGTTAATGTTTCCCAGAGTTTAAAAATAGGCATGGAGGGATAATCTTGAGACTTAAGTCATTTTTTAAAGTTTGAGATTTTCAGTAGCATAAAGATAGATGACAAAATAGGATGCCAAATACACAGTTGTATGATTAGCATCACAGAGTAAAGAAACCCATTTAACACATGTGACTCATTAGCTCAATTAATGATTAATTAAATAAGTGCACCTGGAATTAAAAATGACATGTAAAAAACTCCCAACACACATACAAAGCCAATACGGTTCTCAATGCAAATATTTTACTTTTGAAAACATTAACAAAGATATTTCAGCCACAGCTGCAGAACACTGGGTCACTGTGTAAATCATAAGTAGTAATGCAGAAAAACAGATCTAGCCATTTAGTAAAGCATTTAGGAACAATGCCCATCATGTTTTATGCTATTTAGATCATTTTTGAATGAGAAATACAATAGTTATTCTCCAATCTCTAGACACAGCAATTTAAAACTCCATTTTGTGCAAGGTTCTTACCACTAACAAGGCACTATCATCAGTGTGCTGAGACCTTCTGGATGGGAAGGGACACTGGAGAGGTGGAGAAAATGAAGCAATGTCAAAAATAAACTGCACACACATGACAGAGTTCACAAATACACAAAGAAACATATTAAGACATACTTGTGAAGATGCTAACATAGAGGACCACATTGAATATAATTTGGAATTCATATACGACAATAGCTAGTAAGTTGGTTCTGAGTAATGATTTTCTTCCAAAGAGCTTGAACAATTTCAAGTATGATCTTATTGCCTAAAAACTTTCTAAACCAAAGTGGGAACAGGGATTAATTATTTTTTGTTCACAGAAGAGAAAGCCAGAATTTGTTAGTTAGTGAGCCAATGACAAATAAAAACAATAAATTCAAGAGTCATGATTTCTAGTCTATGCATCTCTTTATTACCTTTCTCAGACAAGAGTATAATTGAAAATTTTAGAATTGTCATTTTCCTGAGAAGACTTAATTTTTAGATAACAAATTCTCCAGAATTACCACCAAGAAGGAAATATGGGGTAAAAAAGGAAGAGTGCGTTAACTAATGTGGACAAGTATAATCAACAACACATACACTGAGGGAATGAGTGATGAAACTGAAAACACTATGTAGAGTTGTTTTTTTTTAATATTTTATTTACTTATTTTTCTAGAGAGGGGAAGGGAAGGAGAAAGAGTGGGAGAGAAATATCAATGTATGGTTGCCTCTTATGCATCCCCTGCTGGGAACTGGCCTGCAACCCAGGCATGTGCCCTGAATGGGAATCGAACCGCGATACTCTGGTTCACAGGCCTGCGCTCAATCCACTGAGCTACGCCAGCCAGGGTTTGTAGAGTTTTTAAAAAATACTGACACCAGCCCCCTGTGCCGGACACGCCTCTCTGTCAGGACTAGTTCTCACTATGTGATATACTTCCAAAATGGACGAGGGAGATGATACCTCTGGTGGGGAACGAAGGGAAATACTCTCCAGATGGATGTGTATACTTTAAAAAATCCCTTATCTACAGATTCTGATAAACTCCCTGGCCTGTGTCTTCTTCCCCTTAATAAACAAAATTTTGTGAGGAGAAAAGAGAAAGTAGCAATATTTAGATCACTGAAAACACATGATAATAACAAGCCAAACATTTCATTTCCACTGAAATAAAAAATTCCAAAGTAAAGGTGATTATATAGACTTACCTCGCCATCGAAGGGGGGCTGTTTTTGTGGACTGTGTGAGGCTTTTTGCTGTAGACCCCCAGCCCCCCCAAAAAGGGAAGTTGATTAGAATCTTTAACACTAGAAATGATAAATTCTATTTATTAAAATAATTGTATTAATTTCTGTATCTCCTGTGTATAACATTTTTCTACACTTACTTGTTAGAAGATATCACTCTTTTCCTTAAGTAGCTTACAGTTGAAATGAGGAAAGGCAGTAAAATGACAAACAGTATGTTTATGTCTATAAGCATCTATAAAAAGACATTTAAAAATCTATTTTATATATACATGCATACAAACAGATTCACAAAGTGGTGAACTCTCACTATACTCTCAGTGAAATTGTTCTCGCTCTAATGACTTCAAGCACCAGCAGAATGCTAAGAGCTTTAGCTCTCATCTACCAGCCAAATTTCACATTTGCATTTCAACTGCCTGTGGAAACACTCTCCTTGGAAACTCCACTCTCACCTCATGTTCAACATGTCCAAACACAAATTTACAATTTTCAAAACCAATTGGCTCTTTTTCCCAATTTGCTAATTTGTTATTATGTTAAAAAACAATATTATACCATCTGTATAGTGTTTTAAAATGTGGTATCTTCACATATAGTATTTCAAGTGATTCTTCCTCTTACTCTGTAAGATAACCATCATAATCACCTAAAGATGAGAAAATTAAGGACAAGAGGGGTTATGTGATATGCGCAAGGTTGCAAAGTTGGTAAATAGCATAACTGAGATTTGCACCTATGTCTTCAGACTCCGAATCCTACATTCTTTCCAGAACACTGGATTCCTATTAAAACCAACTTTTTAGCCTCAAAATCTTGCCCTGGCTGTTGTGGCTCAGTTGGTTGGAGCTTTGTCTTGTAAACAAAAAGTTGTGGGTTTGATCCCTGGTCTGGAAATGTACCGGAAGCAACCTATTGATGCTTCTCTCTCCCATCAGTGTTTTTCCTTCTCCCTTCCTCTCCCTCTGAAAGTAGTGAAGGAAAGTCCTCAGGTGAGGATAAGAAAAAAGTCTTGCTTTGGGACTCCACCCCCCACCATCTTCTTCAATGAGTTAGTCAACATTCACTACACATCTATATACAAGCCATGATGATGTGTCTCTTGAAATCTCTCCTACACTTTTTAAATCTATTGCTGTGGTGGGTGTGTAGCACGCATCATACTAGTAAAAGTATTAGATGTGTCATAATAATTCTGAAATAGTCACTGAAGGTGCAGAATGGTTTAGTAACTTTATAAAAGTGAAGCACATCCTGAGAAGTGAAGCTGGATTCAAACTCAAATACTTCTGATTTTAAGCTCTTACCACTATGCAACACTGTTTCTTCTTGGGAACCTTAGAATTCATGTAGTTTTATGCCTTTAATTTGCACCCTAGTCTAATTGTTGTAATTATTCTCCATTTCAATTTCCTCCTTTCTTAGTCTCTTTCTAACATATTCAATACCAATATATTAGGTTTTCCGAAGTATCTTTCCTGCTTTTTTTCTGCTTACGTACTTACAATTTTTTTCTGCCTAACAGATCAAGATTAAACTCTAATTTGACATTTAATCAAGACTATCTATACTGTGATTATGTCTTACTAGCTATGACTTCTCCAGAAGGCAAACTAAGTGAGTTCATTTATTTAAATGCATAGAACAGCACGTAGAACACAGTATGAGGTGCCATTATTATTTATCGAGAGTCAGTATAGCATTATGGTCACAGTGTAGGGTTTGGAACTAGCCTTTTTTTTTCTTTTAAAGAAACTATTTATTTTCTATCAACCTTATTTCCATTTTCTGTTCAGCCTGTCTTGATTAGAATCCTTGCTCTGCCACTTACTGGTTAAGTATTCAACCTTAGGCAGATTATCATCCTCTCTGATACCTTGGGAAAAAACTGAACTGCTCATGTGTACGGTACTTAAAGAAGATGGTCTTTGGCTAGAATTAAGAAACACAGGAGGGAAAGTGGAGGACATGAGTGATTCCTTCATTTACCAAACATTTATTGAGCTTTACTCTCAGCTAAGACCGGATAACATCTAGGGACACAGCAGTGAATAAACAAGACAGGCACGGTCCCTGCCTTCACAAAGTTTACAGATAAATGAAACAGATATTAAACAAACAAGAATACAAATAATTATTTAATTATGAAGAAAAAATCCAAGATAATTTCAGAACAAAATGACATAAGCAATTCAGGCAAAAAACAAATGAACGAAAACAAAACAAAACAAAAAAACCAGATTGAGAAGTAACTATAAAGGTTGTAAATGTAAAAAAAAGAAAAAGTATTAACAGGAGTTGATAACTGAGTAAGTATGGAGAGAGAACAGAAAGGAAAGACTCAAAGATGACTCTAAAGGCCCGTGAGTCTTACAAATTTCTGGTATTGGGCAGATTGAGGAAGTTAGAGATAGGTTAGCTAATGATGCTTTACATAGGCATGACACTTTCATTTTCATAATATTATTATCTCTACTAATGCACTAGAGACTGAGAAAATGGCAGCTGGACAGTAAAGTGATCCCTAACTATGAGAAAGAGACTACTGTCCTAAGAGCTAGAGCATCCTAAGTGTCCTCAGGCCTATCTACATGAGGACAATTAATATAATCAAAAGTAGGACACGATTACACTATTTACTCAAGATTCCTTATATGAGGGGATCAAAGTTGACATTTTAATTAAGACAATAAGTAATGACGGCCTTAGCAAAACAAATAAACACTTCTAAGTGTTTAGGAACATTATTAAGTGAATTCCAAGGACTCACCTTGACAAAGTCCAGGACAGCATCTCTCTGAATCTGCTTGGTCCTTATTTTCTCCTCTTCATACTGTAAGGCGGCAAGCTGCGCCTCTCTCCGAGCACGCTCTACTAATTGTTCTCTCCTCCGATGAAGTTCAAAGTCTGTATGTGATGGCTGAAACAAAAGATTGCATATGCAAGTGAGGATAAGTATCAACTCATCAATTTAGGAAACTACTACTGACCCAACTTTTATTTTGTATAGTCACCTAACGTTTCTTTAACTGGGTTTACTGCAAATTTTTTCTCATTTTTGCACTATGTTCTTATATGTACTATAAAGCCATCATGTGGGTAAAGATTTATTCTGTCTGGTATCTAAAACATTGTTGGCAAGTATCAGGGGTACATGTTATACTAACTACATGACTGAGAAGAAGGGTAGGGAAGTTCACAGACATCTGACAACTAATAGTAATTTAAGAATTACAAAAGAAGAAAACCATCTTTGTTAAGAAAGATCAAAACTGCTCTTCCCAAAAGCGACCAGAGATAACCTCTAAAAATGGTTTGCTATTCACTTGACCCAGAAAACCCTACAAAATCATGCAAATCAAGAGGTTCAAGTCTTTGTGTTCACTTTAAGAACATTTGTGAAACTGCCCAGGCCATCAAGGGTATGCATATTCAAAAAGATACCAAGAATCTGAAAGATGTCACTTTGAAGAAGCAATGTATGTCATTCTGTCATTACAATGGTGGAGCTGGTAGGTGTGCCCAGGGCCAAACAGTGGGGATGGACACAAGGATGGTGGTGCAAAAAGAGTGCTGAATTTTTGCTGCACATGCTTAAAAGTGCAGAGAGTAAGGCTGAACTTAAGGGTTTAGATGTAGACTCTCTGGTCGTTGAGCATATCCAGGCGAACAAAGCTCCCAAGATGTGGTGCAGAACTGTCAGAGCTCAAGGGCGAACCAACCCCCACGTGAGCTTTCTCTGCCACACTGAGACGGTTCTTCCTGCAAAAGTGCAGACTGTTCCTCAAACAGAAGAGGAAGTTGCACAGAAGAAAAAGATATCTCAGAAATAACTAAAGAAACAAAAGCTTATGACCCTGGAGTAAATTCAGCATAAAATAAATACTAATAAAAGTTTTTTCAAATATCAAAACTAACACAGAATATAATTTTTACCTGATTGTGACTTGGTGATAGTGACAAGAGAGATGGCTCAACTGGAACCCTGACCCAAAAAAGAAAAAAAAAAAAACTCTTTGATAAGAGAAACAGATATACAAAAGACAAGTAAAACTTCATTGTTAATGTAGCTTTCTATTAATCAGTACGCAAACTGTCTAGTCAGGGCTGAAAGACTAAATGAATTTTTTTGTAAACTTGAGCCCAACTCATTAATGAAGCTACAGAACTACCTGATGTCTCCAACTCACGTTTCACAGGATGATATCACTGAACAAGCTGCAGACAGCTAACAACTGTCTGTGATCAGCTGGTGCTGACAATAGTTATTTGAGATCACTTTTCAAACAATATCATTTCTTTATCTCCTTTACTACCATGACTGAAACAAGATATATGTAAATGGAGGTTGTTTTATATAGAAAGTCATTTATCAACAGAAATCTGGAATACTACAGAACCTGGTCATTGTAAAGTACTCCTCCTCCCATTTTCAACTGATAAAGAAATTTTAATAACAAAAGTAAAGGTTCTGTTAGTTTTTTTTTTAAGATTTTATTTATTTATCTTTAGAGGGGAAGGGAAGGAGAGAGAAACATCAATGTATGGTTGCCTTCGTACGTCCCCTGCTGGGAACTGGCCTGCAGGGAACGGGCCTGCAACCCAGGCATGTGCCCTGACTGGGAATCGACCCTCGATTGTCTGGTTCGCAGAACCCGTGCTCAATCCACTGAGCTACACCAGCCAGGGCTAGGTTCTGTTAGTTTTTATTCTTAAGAAAAAGATGAAACTGGATTTGATGCTTAAATAATCATAAAATTAGTCTCCTGGTTTTGTCGGTGTTAATTCCTATAGTTTCATATTTATCTTTTTCCTGGACTGGATTTAGTGTTTCTAGTTTCTGTTACTCATCTGTGTTTTTAAAACTAACAGTGTTGCAACAGTGACTTTTTGACATTTAGGACATGGAAATTTAAACTATGATTGTTAGCCAAATGTTTTTTAATTCTATATTGCTTCTAATAGAAATTAATAAACTTTACAAGACCTAGCCTGATACTATCATCTCTCCTGAACTAAAATGCCATTCAAATAAGTAAACCCTTTTTAAAAAATGATAATGTTTGTTAGTTTTAACTTTATATTTCTTTAATCCATCCTGGCAAATAACTATAAAATAGCAGTTTATCATAATTTATCTCCTTACCTTTATTATCCCGCAGGCGGGTGGTACCTATGTGTGTAAGGAAGGGGAAGATAGGAAGCTACCTACGTGCTGGGTGAGGGAGGAAAAGAGAATTAAGACGAAAAACCGAGCAACTTTCTTTTCAGCGACGACTGATGGGCAAGTAGCAGTGCCTTAAACTGCCTGGATTCCTTTTAGTCTTTGTGATCGGAAGACTGATAAGATTTTTTTTGGTTAAGACAGGTGTTGATAGTCTGAGAGTTGCCAGTCATTTCGAAGTAATTTTGTCTTTCTATATTCTTTTTTTTTTTTGAGAACATTCTTAGTATTTTCTTTCTCTTTTTTTTGGATGTTATCTATTTTTATTTTTAGAGAAAGGGGAAGGGAGAAATAGAGGGAGAGAAACATCAGTGTGTGGTTGCCTCTCACGTGGCCCCTCCTGGGGACCTGGCCCACAATCCAAGCATGTGCCTTGACTGGGAATGGAACTAGTGACCCTTTGGTTCGCAGCCTGTGCTCAATCCACTGAGCTACACCAGCCAAGGCTGTATTTCTAGGTTCTAATTAATGTAATTCCATTACATTATAAGCTCTAGGAGGATGGGAACTTTTGGACTAAAGTTCATAGCTATTTTCCAATACCTGGAAAAGTACTAGGCACACAGAGTGGCACATAAGATATTGAGCAAATACCTAACTAAACAAGTGAAGCACAAGTGACACTTAAACAATGTGAAGGTTAGGAGCACCACCCCCCCCTTGCAGTCAAAATTTTTTTTTCTTTTTTTTTTTTTTTTTTTTTTTTTTTTTTATCCACCTATAACTTTTGACACCCCCAAAACTTAGTTATCCCTCAGTATCTGTGGGAAACTGGTTCCACTCCACCCCTCCCCAGCTGATACCAATTATCAACAGATGCTCATGTCACCTACATAACATGGCATAGATCAGTGCATGAAGCTGGCCTTCTACATCTGTGAACTCCCAATTGCAAATCAAAAACAGAACAAGTATTTATTGAAAAAAAAATCCATATATAAGTGGACTCATGCAGTACAAACCCATGTTTTTTAAGGGTCAGCTGTATGCATTGATCTGAGAGCTTAAACTGGTTATTGAGATAAAGCACTGAGCTCCTGTCCAAAGACTGTACTAAAGCCTAGTGATTTGAAACACCCAATTAAAAGCACAGTCAGCCCTCTATATCTCTGGGTTCTGCACCAGGATCCAATCAACATTTTCAATCCCTGGCTGGCTAGAACCCCAGTGCAGAACCTGGAGATACGGAGAGCCAACTAGGACTCACGCACTGTGGCGTCAGAAGTGGTCCTGGGACTGACCCCTCTGGATAATGAGAGACAACTATAATCATGACTTCAGTTTGCTGCACTGTGGCGGACTAGACACTCTGAATGACTCTTTCAATGAAAATGCTGAACAAAATAAGAAATGCCATTAAAAATAAAGAACATATAGATTCTTAAAAAGAACTGTGGATTCTTTTAAAAATAGGAACTCTGGATTAAGGTTTGATAGGCAGATTTTTGGCCCCTATGATCTCCTCACCTGGTGTTATTCTAATGAATACATCACATGTCAAAAGGACTTTGCAGATGCAGTTAAGGTTACTCAGCAGCTGACCTTAAAATGAGATTACCCAGGTAGGCCTAATATCACACGGGCCCTTAAAAGAAAAGGAAGGCAAGAGAGTTCATAAGATGCAGCAGAAAGGGAAACCAAAGAGATTCAATATGCGAGAAGGATTTGGCTCACCATTGCTGGCTTGATACAGAAGAAGCCATGAACCAATGAATGTGGGTGGACTCTAGAAGCTGAAAATAACTCCCAGCTGATAGCCAACAAGGTAAACGGGGACTTACTTCAGTCTACAACTGCAGGGAACTGAATTCTGCCAAGAACCTGTACAAGCCTGGAAGTGGATTCTCCCCAAGGGTCTCCAGATAAGAATCCAGGCCAGATAAAACCTTGACTTTGGGCAGAGAACCAAAAAAATCCTGTCAAGATTTCTACGCAAGAGAATTGTGATATAATAAATAAGTGTGTTTTAAGCTGCTAAATTTGTGATAATTTATTAGATTAGCATTATAAAACTAATACATAAGGCAATTGAGCAAAAAAAAAGCTGGCTTTCACCTTGAGGGTTTCTACTAAACTCTGGAGATCTTGAGCTTTACTGAGGATGAATGTAGGAACTCAGAGGGATGGGAGGTAGAGCCTATGTCCATCCCAAGTGGGATTATGTAATAGAAAATCCCTGCATGAAACTGGATTCTCAGAAGACCATACCCTCAGTATAAGTAGACCTGGCAACTCAAAAACCACTTTGAGATAAATTTCAAAATTATAAAATTTAACTAAATTGCTATGAACTGACTGATATGACTATAAAAGGCCAAGTTATGAATTTCTTTCATTATTCTCTCCATTTTCCATATCCAGCTATGGCTCGGTGCCCTAAACAACCACAATGCCCTGTCAAGTGTAAGTACAGAACTATGTATGCCGCTTCCACATAGGAAATTTACCATTGTTTAAGAATAGGCACGTCAAGGCTGCTGCTTTAAAGAGTTCATAACAACAGAGAGGAAGCAAAAAGCAAAGGCTGGAAATTTCATTTAGCTCTCTTTGTGCAGACATAGTACCATAAAAACCTCATTGTTATGAAGTATTTTCAAATCAAATAATTATTTAGGTAATGCTTTAGGTGATTTGAATTTAGAATCAATAAATCAGTTTTACTTGTTTTGCTATTACATGAGCTGAAAGGCACATTATCACTCAGCTCTAAATACACAGTACCTAAAATACACAGGATCTTCGTTCTACCTAAATCTATATAAAACCGAAATCATTTCATACTTTTTATTGACTTTTAAGACAGAAACAAATGAATAGAATTGGTTTTTCAAACCTGTTTTGATGTAAATATCTTCTCATGTCTTCTGTTTTTTGAAACTCCCTCATGGGTACTGGCTTTACTGGTGAACCCTACACCAAAAAACAAAACAAAAACAAACCAAAAATAAATCAATTTAACAATAGGTACCCAGAACACTGTGATAACACAATGCATTTAGAGGCATGTATATTACACTAAGAAATAGTATAAACAGAATATTCAAGTGTGAATTTTTATGTTTGAAGCATTATAGGCAATCTTACTGCTTTGGTAAACACAAAACTACTCATAGTTTATTTTATTTTCAAAAAGGTAGGTTTCCTTCTCACTGCATTATGTAAATTACAGTGGTCGTACAGTATGAATGCAAGATAAGATGTTTGAGTTAAAAAGGATCTTAGAGGTCACCTAGTACAAACTTCCACCTAGATCAGAAATTCCTACCTACCCTCCCAGTAGCAGGGAGTTCATTGGGCAGATCACATTTCTTCTTCACCATCACAAATTGTTACTTATATTAGTCATACACACAGTCCTGGGATGTTGGTGAAATAGCAAGATAAGAAAAAAAGTAATTTCTTTGATGGTAAAATATTAGTTAATGAGAAATACTGGCAATTTATTTATAAACTATAGGGTAAAGGTCATTTCAAAAAATATCACTGAGGAAAATTAAACTGACTTAAGTGATATGGACCACATACTGAAAAATAAAATTACAAATCAAAGAAACTTGAAGGTTACCACAGAATGTATTTTGTCAAATGAAAATTTATAGAAACAATGCAATCTTATTTCAACAATAAAAATAATCATCAAAATGGGTATTCTTGAATGAAAAGAAAACAACTCATCTAAAAAGTGTACCTAAAAATCAAATGTAAAGCTAGTTATGGTCTAGCTCCAAAAAGGAGGTACATCACATATAACTAGAAAATCTTTGGTGAGTTACTGCAAAGCGCTAAAGCTGTCTGGGTATGAGAATCATATAAAATGAGTTACAATTTTAGAATTCTGATGAGAAAATAATTATTCTAGTTTCAGTCAATATGGCTTTTAAAAAAAATAAGCAAAAATCTCTCCTAGTGTGTAACCACCAGTGACTTATCACCCTGTTGTACATACACTACAATTACCTGAAAGTATTGCCAAGAGGTAGATAAAATTTTCACAACAAATGAATGTGACACTGGTTTAATTTTTTTAAAAAGATGTCATAGTCTATAAATGTAAATCATACCCTATTTTATCATAGTACTTCTATGTATGTGAGGGGTATTATAATCACTTTGAGTAGAAATACCTCATTTATACAGTCTAACCACAGAATGATCAACGAGAAAGACCACAGACACGCAAAAAAGATTCCCTTTAAAATTATAGTGTGCATTGCTAATTTTCACTTTATTGTGAATTAGTTGCTCTTACAGGGATGTTTATAGCCTGAACCACAGTGGGTTCATTAATCACCTACTACACACTGCTATCTTTGGGTTGCAGGACTTTGGTTTATATAACTTCATCCAACTTTAAATATGAGTGTCTTCCCCTTCAGACAGGAAACCCAAAGGATTTTTTTAAAAAGAATGATAATACCACTCTATAAAATGCCCCATTTGAAGTAATTATTCTCTATTTCATGATTCTCCAAAAAGGCCCAAGTGTTTCTCAACAACCCCTGCTCAGAGCCTGGGACCAACTCCAGATATCAGCAACACACACACACTGGAATGGAGCCATTGTATTACGCTGACTAGATACACTGAGGAATGCTATTTCTTGAGACCCTTGGGGAATTGGCAGAGAGTCTGCAGTGGACTGAATGCTCATTTGTTTCATAAGGCAACTCAATGCTCCACTCTAGGAGACACCCAAGAATTTTAATGGAAAATAATTCATAGTCTCTCTGACTGAGCATAAAAGCTCCAATATAATTAAGCTCATTATAAAAATTCTATGGGTCTGGCCATTTCTGTCCCAAAGAAATGCTGCATCAAACTATCCCTGTGCTATCCCACTTGCAGATTGACCTGCAGTCTTCACCATCGTAGAAGGTCATGAGGACCCACTGCTATCTGGTCTACAAAGGTGTGTACTGTGTAAAATATTCAGAAAAGGTAAAGTTTTTATGACCCAGATCTCCATTTGCACCTATTAAGACAATAGAATAATGGCTGTAATCATCCAGAACAAAGTGAGAAACAGGCAAGTTAGTGAAGTAACTGATCCAGTTACTTCTTGAGTCAAGAAGCAACTTGACTCAAAATGGATTAGAATGAAGCACAAGACAAACAATCCAGAGGCATTCTTTTTACTTTTTGATGTTCGGACTCTCCCATCAGGGACAGAAAACTCCCCATTCCAAATATACAACTCGTGCCCCCAGCTTCCGAAAATCCAATCCCAAGTAATCAGATTTGGGGGGAGGGTACACTAACAAAAAACAGTTCTACAGTTAAGTTTGTATGTTGCTCCAGAAGTCATTGATTTGGTTCAATTCTTAATTACTGATCAAAACATGATTTATCAGTTAGTAATAATACACCTATCAGAATGGCCATCATCAATATATCAACAAACAAGTGCTGGCAAGGATGTGGAGAAAGGGGAACCTGTCTGCACTGTTGGTGGGAATGCAGACTGGTGCAGCCACTGTGGAAAGCAGTATGGAGATACCTCAAAAAATCAAAAATAGATCTGCGTTTTGACCCAGTGATTCCACTTCTGGGAATTTATCCAAAGAAACCTGAAACACTGATTTGAAAGAACATAAGCACCCCTACATTCACTGCAGTGTTATTTACAATTGTCAAGATTTGGAAGTAGCCCAAGTGCCCACCAGTAGATAAAACAACTATAAGACATTTATACAATGGAATACTACTCAGCCATAAAAAAAGAAAAAAATTACCCTTTTTGACAGCAGATTGACCTAGAGAACATTATGCTATGTGAAGTAAGCCAGTCAGAGAAAAACAAATACCATACGATTTCATTCACGTGTGGAATCTAATGAACAAACTGAACTAACAAGCAAAATAGAGACAGACTCATAGATAGAAGGATGACAGCTGGAGGCAGGATTGGGGAGTGGAAGGATTGAGAAAAAAAAAAAAGACTCATGGACACATGACAATGTGGTGCTTCCAGGGAGAGGTGGATGGGTATGAAAGAGGGCATAAAGGGGATAAATGGTAATGGAAAAAATATAATAATAAAAACTATTATTAAAAACAGCAATAAGAACAGTGAAAAGCATCATATTCCTTTGCATTTTCTTCAAAGGCACAGGATATTATTAGGACACCCTCAATCCCTTTTTCAAAATTCTAAAATCCTTTTATTTGAAAAACAAACTCAAACCCCATTTGAGACTACTGTCTGATTTTTTAAAAAAATGAATCTGAAAAAAATTAGTAATGAAATTGGAACTGAAAACCAAACAAATAATCAAGCCTAAACCAACAAATCACTACTATGACAGAAATTTATACCTCCATAAGTTATTTTTCCTAGGGGACAGCAACACCGTTAGGCTTAAATGTGTGTACTACCTCATGAGAGATTCGCCGTTGTTCAATGTAGGCCATGAACTGTGAACTGAGGCTGCCTGAGTCCAGGCCCCTGGGCTGCCTCGCCTCGTCCTCTTCGTCCTCAGCAGCACAGCTGTCAATGTAGTCAATCTGGTCCAGATCGTGCTCCACTGTCCACATCACACACGCCGGAAAAAAACATTCACATTAGAGAGCTAGTGCAAGACATTAAATTGCATTCTTTCCTCTTCCCTAACATTTTCTATTCTGAAAGCGGAATGCGTTTACATTATGTAATGCCTTTATTACTTGGCCCATGACCACTCACAAAAATAGGCTCCAGACAAATCTCAGCCCTAGTGCACTAAAGGGTAATTATTGGAATACAGACCTCTGGTATTTCTTTTTCCTTAGGATAGCTCTTCACTGTTTTAAATAAGACAATCTGAGTTTGTGACACAAACAAAGGAAGAATAATTTTAAACGTTGAAAGGTACATCTGTTGGGTTCTTTCGCCATGTTTTAGATTTGGGGTGTAAACATATGTCTCCTTCAGAAGGTGGAAGGCATGAAACCTAACACAATCAACTCAAAAGAAAAGAGAGACAATGGGAGGAAAGTAAACTTGAGGATGAAGAAATAAGATGCTGACTTCTGTTTCCCTTCCTATAACTGGTGTCCATAACTAGAACAAGGGTTTTCTATTTTAAAAATGATTTTCTAGCGGGAGTAGGTGTGCAGGGTGGAGGGGAATGAAGTGGGGGAAATGGGACAACTGTAATGGCATAATCAATAAAATATATTAAAAAATGATTTTCTAGAGGTCAACACTTTAGATATTTTAGATAGTTTAGGATAGAAGAAAATCATTTGGGAAATTTTTCCTTCTCAAAATGTTTTGGGGTGAGGAAAAGCATATAAATAAGATTTAACCACATCTTTAAGTGTGGGAAAGCCCCATTATTTTTAAGTTTAGAAAGTAACCATTTTTAAAAGCCTGTTAAAATAGCACACTAGGAAAAAAAAAACTTGCTAGTTCCTTGATAGCTTCTTCAGAGATGTATGAAACCCCAGTTACTATTGTATGATGGTCTACAGAATGCCTATAAGTTATGGTGTCTGGGAACAGTGAATTTGGAGAATTCCATAACTGCAGTTAATACAAAAATTAATTTTGAGTTACCAGAGTTAATAATATTAATAGGTTCACCCACATTAGAAACCAGGTACAGAAATGCATTTTTTCCAGTGTGCTAAAACTTGCATAGCTAAATAAATAATTCATTTTGTTATGATTAATTTTAAAGAAAGCAACATCACATTTTCATTTCAAGAGAAATAGAATGTAAGCCACAAAAGTAAACCACAAATGTAATTTTGGATTAACTAGTAGCCACGTTTTTAAAAACTCAAAAGAAAAGGTGATTTTAGAATATATTTTATTTTGTCAAATATATCTAAAATATTATCATTACTACATATAATCAATATAAAACATTACTAATATTTTACATTCCTTTTTCATGCAAAATCTCCAAAATCTGAAGTTTTACACTTACAGTACATCTCCATTAAAAAAAAGCCACACTTCAAATGCTCCATAACCTCATGTGGCTAGTGTTTACCATACTGGACAACACAGATACAGAGACATTATTTTAAGTCAGAAATGAACCAATGAGAAAGATACCTCATACAAGCAAGATTAAAAAAAAAACTACTGAAATGTGAATAAAATAAGTGACAGGAGTAAAAAAAAAATGTAATATGGTAAGAAAAAATGACAGCAAACCACTGAATTGAAATCATGATTCAGAGACGAAAGCTCTTCTCAGATGATATAATGGATTTCTGAAAAATCAAAGTCATTTCTCCCTTATAGCTAACCCTCAAAATTTAATAATTAGGATTTGGTAATTCAAACTAAAGCAAAGAAGCAAAAAAGTCTGTTAATGAACTATAAAAACAATAAAAAATGAAAAAAATTAAATCCAAATTTTAAAATATCAGAGTAAGAAAAACTCATTCAGATGCCCTGGAAAAGCACAATTCCAGATGAAAAAAAAATGTAATGAAGAACAGCACTGATTTCCTACAGGAGGTCACATAATGACCACACACAAAAAAAGTCTTTTAAAAGAAGAATAGTACTTCAAAAGAAAATCCAGGTTAAATCAAAGTTAACAAAGGTAAACTGTCGTTAATAAAGCTTCCTCCCAAAATGAAAACAAGAAACACTGTGTTTTAACTGAGAGCCTGAACACAGAGAAATCCCAGTTTAATCCCAATAGAAAACAATTTTCTTGCAATCATATGATAAAAGTCTTGTGTTTGTTTGTTTTTTAAAATGCTTTATTAATTTATTTTTAGATAGAGAAGAGAAGGACAAAGAGAGGGAAAGAAACATCAATGTGTGCTGGCCTCTCACACACCCTTCCCTAAGGGACCTGGCCTGCAACACAGGCATGTGCCCTGACTGGGAATCAAACCAGCGACCCTTTGGCTCATAGGCCAGCACTCAATCTACTGAGCCGCAATAGCCAGGACAAGAAGAGAAAGCCTTTAAGAGCTGAAGAATCTACAGATATACAAACCAAAGGAGTAGGTGTGGAGAAAACCACTTGAAAGAGTTATAGTGGCCCTGGCTGGGTGGCTTGGTTTGTTGAAATATTATCAGGTACACCAAAAACGTTATGGGTTAGTTTTCCAGTCAAGGTGAATACAGGAGGCAACCAATGGATGTTTTTCTCTCACATCCATGTTTCTTTCTCTCAAATCAATAACATATCCTTGGGTAAGGATTAAAAAACTAAACCTTAAAAAACTAAAGTGATTATAAAGACTTCAGGCGTCAATCAGGAACTGTTTACCTCCACCATTTGTTACTACTAAACTGCTGCGATTCTCTTGGTACTGGTTTTCTCTTCGTAGTCTTTGTTCTTTAGTAATTTCTGCTACTCGAAGAGGTAAATCTGAAAATTCATCTGTAGGCTTAAAAAAAGCAGAAACATTGAGAAACATCACCCTAAATTTTACACAATAAAGTATTTAAAAGCATGGATACAATATAAACTCATTAAAATTGATACTTAAGAAATAGCAGAAAAGTTCTGGATATGTACAATGTGACAATTTCTTAATGTTAATGTACTTGATGCCACTAAAATGTGCACATAAAACTGGTTAAAATGATAAATTTTATGTGTATTTGACCACAATTAAAAAAAGAAATAGAAGAGCATATATGACTCTACAAATATGTATACACATGTACATGAACTTGAAGTACAGGTACATCTATGTACCTGTACGGATACAGCCACAATTATGAAGACACCAGCCCATACAAATACAGAAGCAATTCCAAATTACAGACTGGCAGTTGTCTGAAATTACTTTGCTTTGGACTTCCCCAATGAAACAATGTTATGAATAGTAAATCTTGCTAAAGAAAAGTTTATTTAATCAGTTAAACCAATCTATAGCTAAAATATTGTATCTTAGTAATTTTCAAAAACAGAAAACATAATACTAATAACTAAATAAAAGAGAAATATGATACAATGAGCCAAGAAAGTTGTCTATCTTGAGCAGTGGCTATCCTTCACAAAGGTTCTCACCTCATTACCCATTAGTTGTTACTGACTCAGTTCCCGCTTAGGTTTTTAGGATATCAAACTATTTATACAAGACAATGAGGTAATAAAGATGCAAAACACATATGGTAAAAAGATGGTAAAAAAACAGCATTTTTGGAAGGCATGACTCGGTGGGATTTTTACTACTATCTTGGCTTTTCTGTATTTTATGGAATGGTAAACTTGAGTCCAATTAAGAAACTTTTCAGTTTCATCCTTTTATTTCTTCTTAAAGTGCAGGAGTTATAAAATGCAGAAGACAGTAACACTTACTTCATTCCCTGACCATCTCTTATCACCACTGTCAACACTATTGAAACCTGAATCAAGAGCTCCATAAGGGCGACCTGAGTATAGTTCTTCGTGGCTGCAAAAAAGAGACGTTAGTTATTAATGCAAAGTTGGATATATTAAAATTAACATTTGAAATAAATCAGATTCAATTTTATAAACGAATATTCTCATGGCATTTAGAGACTTAACTATTTAGAATTAAATGAGCATTCATTTCATTTTTGAATATGAGAAGTTCCAAATTAAAACAGAGTAAACAGAATAGTGTAATGAGCTCCCAGGGACTTATTACCAGCTTCAAAACTAACAGTCTGACATTTTTGTTTCATCTGTTCTACCCACTCCCAATGCCCCTCTCGTTTGTTTTTAACAGTACTTTTACATACACTGAAATGAACTCACCACAAATAAAGATATCCTTGTAATAACATATACCTCTATCATGATACAGGATATTTCTACTTTGCCAGAAAATTCCCACATATCCATCCTTTCCCACTCAATTTTCCTCACTTGGCCACTGTGTGCTCCTAGGAGGCAAACTCCACTCTGATTTTTTTCACACTACATTAGCATGGAAGGTAGAATAATGGTCCCCCCAAATGCCCAAGACGTTATCCCTGGAACCTGTAAATATGTTACTTTACACAGCAAAGGAGAATTAGGGTTGCAGAGAGAAATAAAGTTGCTTATGAGATGACCTTAAAATAGGGAAATTATCTTGAATTATCTGAATGGGCTCACTGTAATCAAAGGGTCCTTAAGAGTTGAAGAGGGAAGCAGAAGAGGTCATTGTGACGCCACGCTCGCTTGAAGATGGAGGAAGGGGACCGACTGCCAGTAATGCAACAGCCTCTAGAAGTTGAAAAAGGCAACGAAATGCATCCTACTGAGAGCCTATAGAAAAGAATGCAGCTTTGCCAGCATCTTACTGAGACCAGGATTTATACTTCTGACCTACAGAACTGTAAGATAATAAATTTGCCTTGTTTAAAACCTCCAAGGTTCTGGTAGTTTCTTATGGCAGGCATACAAAAGTAATACAATTAGTTTTACTTACTAAAGAACTCATAAATATGGAATTATATGTACTCTTTTTTAAATTCAGCATCATGTCAGTGAAAACCTTGAGGTTTTTAATACCTTGCACTGAATGAATGAATAATAATATGGTAAGTGTAGATTTAACTTTTAAAAAACCTGCCAATCTGTTTTCAGTAGCTACATCATTTTGCATTCTCACCAACAATATATTTGAGTTCAAGTTGCCAACACTTGTATTCTCAGTCTTTAATTTTAGCTGTTCTGATGGAGGCAATGTATTAGGTCACTGTGGCTTTAATTTATATTTTTCTGATGACTAGTGACACTGAGTATCCTCTTGTGTGCTTATTGGTCATTCGTTTACCTTCTTTTGTAAAATGTTTAAATCTTTTGTCCATTTTTAAATGTGGTTATCAATAAACTTTAAAAAATATTTTTGCTAAGTAAAAGAAGCCAGACATAAAACACTACGTAATGTTGTATTTCCTTTACATGAAATTCTAGAAAAGACAAAACTATACAGACAGAAAGATCAGTAGTTGTCTGAGGCAAAGAGAAAGGGGAAAAACTTACTGTACAAATGGGCAAGAAGGGGATGGAAATATTACATATCTTAATTGTGTTGGTAGTTTTTCATTTTTCCTCAGTTTTCTTTCACTGCCATAACCTCAAAAATAAATATATTTGGTCTATAATATAAATCTGTTTAAAATCATCTCAACAAAAAAGCACAGGTCACTGGAGTTCACTATTGAGAAATATGTGTGATGCCAATTGTGAAAGGAGTTGGAAACATTTACACCTGGAAATGAGTAAAACATTTGTGATCTTCAAAAAATTGTTTAGGGAAGACTGTGTGTCCCTTTTATACTACACAAAAATATTTAGAAAGTTACATATAAGGACTAAAAGTACCACAACACCTAATTTGTGTTGAATACCTGAAGAGCTACAGAATTAATAAAAATTCTCGTTAGTAAGACAGGACACTTAAGACTAAATTGGTTCTGAATCACAGCACACACCTAGTAACTATAATGACTATATTTCCATTTCTATAAGGCTTTCTGATCAGTAAAGCACTTTCACACACAGGTCATTTGATCCTCAGAACTAATGTTAGGGTATAAAAAGAATAAAGATCATATAGAAGAAAAGAAATTGAGGCTTGAAGAGATTAAGCGAACTCCCCAAAAGTACAAGATTCACAGCTAGAACCAAAACTTTCTGATTCCATGATGGCATTTTAAACAAATTTATTGCCAACTACAGTTCAATTTCACTAATCTGTACCACAGTGAGGAAGACAGAGGTTATTCACTGGTGCATGAGGAGCTGAAGGAAATATTTTATATACTATATATAAATATATAAAATTTCTACATACATACACACACACACACTTTTACATTTCTAGTACATTCTGAAGCCATTACAAATACAGTAGCACAACTCTGAAGTAAATGGAAAAAAGACAGTTTAATCTACTGAGCATCATTAAGAATTACCATAAAGCCCTGGCTGAGTAGCTCACTTGGTTAGAGTTTCATCCTGATACATAAAGTCTGTGGGGTTTGATCCCCAGTCAGGGCACATATAAGAAGTAACCAATGATGCATCAATAAGTGGAACAACAAAGCAATGTTTCTCTCCCAGTCCCACTTCTCTGCTCACCTTTCTCCTTCCCTCCCCCAAGATGAATTTTTAAAGAAAACTTTGTAAAAAACAAAAAAGAATCATTACAGGGACTGAAATACATTAGTTCTACAATTGCCAATTTCTCTGGAGAGACATAACATATTTATGGTACTTAGGCTTTCCATTTTGAAAAGTTTTCTTCATTGACTCAAGCTTTCTTTTATCTCTTAGAAACACATAAGTCTCTTTCCAGGTTATTTTTTTTTAAAGATTTTATTTGTTTATCTTTAGAGGGCAAGGGAAGGAGATAGAGAGAGAAATATCAATGTATGGTTGCCTCTCGTGAGTCCCCTGCTGGGAACTGGCCTGCAATCCAGGCATGTGCCCGGACTGGGAATTGAACCTCGATTGTGTGGTTCGTAGGCCCGCGCTCAATCCACTGAGCTACACCAGCCAGGGCCCAGGTTTTTTTGATATATGTTCTTAAAGTACTATGATCGGGATTACTATAGCAAAAAAAAATTGGGCCAAGACAAAGGACAGAATCACAGGTCCTACGATAGCACTGCACCTCTTAGCTAAAATTCATTATTCGTACAGATCGTGATGCTTCTTCCTCAGTTTCTTTAGGCATACTCTCACATATACCTTACCCAGGATTCACTATTAATTGTTACACTCAAAACGCACAGGTAGAAGTAGCAGTAGCAGTTTCATTTTCCTATTCTATTATTTCATGAGAGAAAAAATTTTTTCTTATCAAGAATTACTGACTCCAAGGGAGAAAATCAATCAGTGTTTATATAAAATAAAACCCACTTTCACTTGTTGTACATCTTTTAAGAATATAAGTGCAGAACACTTTTAATGAAAATTTTAAATAGTAAAACCAAAACTTCAATGAGTAAGAAATAAAGAGTCGTACACTTCTGGTCAAAATGGAGGCACAGGTAAATGTGCTTCGCCCCCTCATGCAACCACAGGAGGAATTACAACTAGACCTCAAAACACCGAGAACCTTCAAAAAATCAAGCTGTACAGAAGTCCAACAACCAAGATGTAAAGAAGCCACATTCATCCAGATGGGTAGGAGTGGTGGAGATGGGTGCAGAGGCACGGAAATGCACTGTGGCATGAACAGACGACTGGCAAAATGGTCATTCCCACATTCACATGTGGTGGATAGAAATCAGGAGGGATACCTCAGTAGTTAAGATCACAGCCCCAGGCCAGACCACACAGCCCAGGGTTCCAGTGCCAGGAAGATAAATCCCCATAAATTCTGGTTGTAAAAACCACTGGGGGTTGAGGTAGTGGAAAAAACAGCTGAAATTTCAGGTGACTGTGCTTAAAGGGCCCGAATGGACTCAGAATGTACACAGACCCACCTCCTCTGAAATCCAGTATCAGGGCAACAGTAGGAAGGGCACCAGTTGCACACATAACTGGAAACCAGGCAAGTGCAGAGCAAATCTCCAGAAGCCAGACAGCAGCATTATCCCCTCTCCAAGTCCCTCCCCCAACCCCCAAAACAGAACCACAAAGTGGTGAAGCCAGTAGCCCTGCACTGGCCATTACCTAAGGTTCTGCTCCATACAGTGTACAGGTGCCTTTTATACAACAGGCCATATTACTAAGACAGGGAGTCAAGGCAGCTCTACCTAATACATAGAAACAAACACAGGGAGGCTGCCAAAATGAAGAGACAAAGAAATAAGCCCCAAATGAAAGACTAGAACAAAATGCAAGAAAAAGAACTAAATGAAATGGAGATAACAAACCTATCATATGCAGATTTCAAAACACTGATTATAAAGATGCTCAAAGGACATAACATATTGAGTATTGAAACAACATAAAAAATACTCAGGAAGAAATGAAGGTTACACTAATTGAAATTAAGAAAAAATCTACAGAGAACCAACAGTGGAGAGGATGAAGCCAGAATTCAAATCACCAATATGGACACAAGAAAGAAATAATAATTTGACCAGAACAGAAGGAAGAAAAAATCATTTTAAAAAATGAGGGTGGTATAAGGAGCATTTGGGACATCTCCAAACATACCAACACCTGAATCATAGGAATGCCAGAGAGAGAAGAGGAAGAGCAAGAAACTGAAAACTTATTAGAAAGGACAGTGAAAGAAAACATCCCTATTTTGGTGAAGAACAGACATACAAGTCCAAGCAGCACAGAGTCTCAAACAAATTGGACTCAAATAGGACCACACCAAGCATGTCATATTTAAAATGCCAAAGGTTAAAGATAAATAGAGAATCTTAAAACTGGCAAGAGAAAAGCAGACAATTACCTACAAAGGAATTCCCATAAGACTATCAGCTGATTTCTCAAAAGAAACCTTACAGGCAAGAAGGGGTTGGAAATAAG